TATTTCAACGAAACCGCTCATGGTTAAAGTAAAAGTAATCAATTAAGGCTTTTAGTTTGTATTATGGAAATTGGGTGAGGGGGGGGTTGGGGAACCGGAATGTTTTGTTATTCAAACTTAGAAGTTTTTAAATTAATAGGGCCTCCATCACAAACCATTACAGTAAAAATTCCCTCCATGGGGGCTTATAATTTTGAATTTTATTGGATTGGGTGGCGTGGGGGGGTGTAGATAGAGGGAGGGAGGGTGAGAGGGTGAGGAAGGGAGGGGTGGTGAGGAAGAGATAGAGGGAGAGAGAGAGGAGGAGAAATAGACATACTGACTGACTGAGTGATTAACAGTGAGAAGAGGTCAGGGTGGAGGGGGGAGGGGGGGCGAGTGTCTTTATCATATTGGTCTGTTGACAGAAAGCATAGCTGCGTCATGTGACTCCACTAATCAGGTCACAAGGAGCAGCTGTGAGCCACAGACAGATCCTGCAGCGTGTGAGTGCTCGTAACCACGACAACGCCGCACCTGTGCGGCTGCAAAATGCAGAGACATGGGAGCAAGTTACACAGAATCCACACCTCAGACAAATGGGAACCAGCGAAAAACTATAACAGCTATCTAAAAAATACGGCGTTTGTATGAGACCCAAGACTCTACCGAACGCGTGGATGTGTTTTTATGTCTGTCCGGTAATAAATACGGCTCCTATGGCCGTTGACAGAACGTGTACCTTGTGGATTTTTGTGAGAAATATGTCGGCAGATTTGTATTGGAGCCTATGGGGCTTTTGGCAGAGGTTGTGTCACTCAAACACTCCTTGCGCCAAAACTAAAGAACTCTGGGATTCCATGAAAGCATTAATCCAATCAGCACAACCATACCCTCATTAATCTGAAGAAATGAAGCCTCTAGGGTGTATACTTTGGCTGCAAGGACAGAAGTTCCATATTTTTTTAACCAGATTTCTGCGATGCCCCACACTCTAGCCTGCGAGGTCCCGCTTCTAGCAGACGCAATACACACTCATGTAAAAGTCAGAAACGGAGCGAAGAACTAGTGAAACATAATCAGTGATTATAAAAAAAGTACAATAGATATCAAGAAGCAGTTTTTTTCATAAAATAGTTGAGACTTGTGTGAACATTTGAGAGTTGAAATGGTGTCTGTAGCTGAAAGATTTGCGAAGCTGAAAAATCTGAAAGTTGAAGAAGTTGAAGAGGATTTAAACACGATCTCCATAGGAAAACCATTAGACGAAATATTCATGATTACTGATTTATATAAATTCAAGCTTAAGAGGTAGAAAGCTGAACATACATAGCCCTCAAGCCAGAAAGGAGCTGAATATTTTAATATTTGAACGGTTTATATAGCTGAAAATGTGAAGGAGTTGAAAGCGGGCGCGGAAGAAATAGAATAATAATAAGTTGAAATAAAGATTAGAAGAACAATACTTGGAATGCTTAAAGCATTCCAACTAATAAGTGTGCTTGTGTGTAAAAATTATCAGAGAATCACATTATTCAAACGCTTTGTGTTCAAACTGATTTTTATTGAAATGGCACATATACTGTAAACCAGAGCACACAGGTTACAGAAGTCCATGTTGAATCATTTGAGATGGCACCCTGTGATCATCTGAACTAACCTAAAGGTACCAACTAAAAGTTTTAAGACTGGAAATAGTTGGTAAACAAGTACACAAGTGTTTATACTTTTGTCAATCAAATTGGTGCATTCACTGTGTTTTTAAGTGTATTACAGTGAAGGTTTTTTTTTTATAGTGACAGTTTGCAAAACATCGAGAAGCTGCATCCAACGACGACGACCGGATTCCACAAAATGTGCAATGAGAGACGTGATGTTTGGAATCCCGACGTTTGTTACCTCTTTGATTTAAACGGAAGCAGCCTTTTCTCAGACTGGCCGAACCTTTTTGTTTGTTTTTCCGTAGCGTTTTCACGCGCTCGCCAATCGCTCACTTGGGCCCCAGCATCTCGCTGGGCTTCACCCACTCGTCGAACTGCTCCTCCGTCAGGTAGCCCAGCTCCACGGCCACGGCCTTCAGCGTGGAGCCCTTCTTGTGAGCCGTCTTGGCGATGGCGGCCGCCTTGTCGTAGCCGATGTGCGGGTTCAGCGCGGTGACCAACATGAGGGACTCGTTCATCAGCTTGTTGATCCTCTCCCGGTTGGCCTCGATGCCCACCACGCAGTTGTTGGTGAAGGAGACCGACGCGTCGCCGAGCAGCTGCGCCGAGTTCAGCACGTTCTTGATCATCATGGGCTTGAAGACGTTGAGCTCAAAGTGTCCGTTGCTGCCGCCGATGGTCACCGCCACGTGGTTTCCCATCACCTGGGCCGCCACCATGGTCATGGCCTCGCACTGGGTGGGGTTCACCTTCCCCGGCATGATGCTGCTCCCCGGCTCGTTCTCCGGCAGGATCAGCTCCCCCAGGCCCGAGCGGGGGCCCGAACCCAGGAAGCGAATGTCGTTGGCGATCTTCATCATGCTGACGGCCACCGTGTTCAGCGCCCCGCTCAGCTCCACCAGGGCGTCGTGGGCCGCCAGGGCCTCGAACTTGTTGGGCGCGGTCACAAACGGCAGGCCCGTGAGAGACGCCACGGTGGAGGCCACTTTCTCGGCGAAGCCGATGCGGGTGTTGAGTCCCGTGCCGACTGCCGTGCCCCCCGCCGCCAGCTCGTACACCCGGGGCATGGCGGCCTTCACCCTCTCGATGCTGTACTTGACCTGCTGGACGTAGGCGCTGAACTCCTGTCCCAGCGAGAGCGGCACGGCGTCCTGGGTGTGCGTGCGGCCGATCTTGATGATGTCTTTGAACTCTTCGGACTTGGCGGCCAGAGCGGCGTGCAGGGTCTGCAGGCCGGGCAGCAGGACGTGGTGGACCTCCGTGGCGGCGGCGATGTGCATGGCGGTGGGGAAGGTGTCATTGGAACTCTGGCTCTTGTTGACGTGGTCGTTGGGGTGGACGGGGTCCTTGGAGCCCAGTTTCCCGCCTAGGATCTCGATGGCTCGGTTGCTGATCACCTCGTTGACGTTCATGTTGCTCTGAGTCCCGGATCCAGTCTGCCACACCACCAGAGGGAAATGATCATCCAGTTTACCAGCTGAAACCTCATCCGCCGCCTGGATGATCGCATCTGCTATCTTCGGGTCGAGGCCGAACTCCTTGTTGACCTCGGCGGCCGCTTTCTTCAAGATGCCAAACGCCTTGATGACTTGGATGGGCATTCTCTCACTTGGACCTCCTATTTTGAAGTTCATGGTGGATCTGACAGTCTGGGCCCCGTAGTACTTGTCAGCTGGTACCTTGAGCTCGCCGAACGTGTCCCGCTCGAGCCTGTACTCTGAGGTGGCCATTCTGGACGTGCAGATGTGTAGTTTGGAGTTGACGCTGACTCTTTGCGGAGTCAGGAGGTTGCAGTTAAGCTGCCGCACGCGTCTCAGAGACCGAAACATGGCTTCGCACTAGAGGTGAATCCGGGGGGAGGTCAACGCAGCCTTCTGCTTTATGAGCTGTCATTGGGTGAATCGGAAACCGATCGCGGGTCAGCCAATGGCGAGGCGAGAGAGGCGGGTTTTCTGCTGTTGCCGTCGTATCGAATGGTAACGACCAGGCTGCTCCATCCGGATCAGTGAAGTTACTCACGACGTAGCAGGATAGTATATCCGGTGTGACAACTAAGGATTATTTACTTTGTAGAATAAAGGTTGGCAGTTTTAAATATGTTGACAGTTTCAATTTCTACATTTGATTTATCCAACAGTTGAACTTTCTTTTAGGCTTTTTATGGACCCCAGTTTATTTTATGCTTGTTAATTATTACAATTTGGATATATTGCTTGTTGTTGGGGGTTAAGTGTAACACCTGGAAGCATTTCTACAATCATGCTTGCTATATATAGTGCACAATGTTTGTTTAATGTGTGTAATTACATCGGCATTTATTGTTGATTATAGTATAGTTGATTATTTATGATATTTGATATGTATCCTAACCTTAAAATTAGAAATACTCTTTCATTTGTAATGTAAACTCTAAACTGACAATCTATCAATGATAATTAGATAGCCCTTTTAACTTATTTTTTGACAGTAAAGGATGTTTATTTTTGAAAGAAATGTTTATTATGGTCGTTTATTTTCCACATTAGTTTTCTTTTCGGTGCGTTGTTTATGCGTAGAGTAGAAATGCTTTTATTTTGAAGGGTGAAAACGTAAGTCCACCGGAAGTGTCTCGTCCGTTGTCGCTAACCTCCCTCCGCCGTCTCTTCTCGCGGTAACGTTAGTGCACTGTTAGCTTGCTAGCTAACCCCCATCGTTTCCAGGTTTCGTGTCGACCTGAAAAAAAAAGCAAACGAAGAGAGGCACCGAAAGGCCACGCAGCCGAACACCTTTTCTAACCCCGGCTGCACCGAAGAGCGGGACAATGCCCCACAACTTCCAGCCCGGAGACCTGGTCTTCGCTAAAATGAAGGGGTACCCCCACTGGCCGGCCAGGGTAAGCAACTAACGTTAGCGGCAGCAGCGGCAGCCGGAGGGGCGGAGGGGATGAGCCGCTCTGCATGGGACGCTGGAGAAGGTTCTGTGTCTCCTCGACACTGTCTGTACACGGATACCCGTCACGCGTTTACATTAAACAAAATCTGATGGTTGTGCTTCGGGCCCGCGGGGCAGCGGGATCGTGAAGATGCTGTTGGCCCTGTCGTTAAACCGCACGAAAACGTACAGCAGCGGAGCTACCGTTAATTTGGGGAATGGCGTTGGTGTTAATTGCCTTGTTTTTGTTTTTTTTAATACACCAGAAACCCTCCTTATCACTCGAGGATCCCACACGCACATACAAAGTGAATCTGTTGAAAGTTGGAATGTTTTGTTTTCAAGAGGTTGCACACATCTGTGCGTCATACCCTCATGTTTGCATCCCAGATCGTATTTATTTGACACTTGTTTACAGATTGAAGATGTGGCCGATGGGGCAGTGAAACCACCTCCTAATAAAATCCCAATTTTCTTCTTTGGGACACATGAAACGTGAGTAACAGTGCTGTAATGATCAGTTGTTGGAGAAATGAGTTATTTGTATGCACAAACCTGTTTACATTATTCTAAATGGAGTCAGCTTGTTTTTTTGTAGAGGTAATGAAAATAGAGTTCTAATAGTGTATCTATAACATGTTGGCCCTCACCTGTTTGTTTGCATGAGATCCCCTTGTCTGTTTGACAAGATGGCACCTGCAGTATGTTAGTGCATCACTAGGTGGCACATTCGGCTCTTTCAAAGTCTCAAGTCGGTGTGAAGGTTTAACCTGTTTTTGACACTAGAATAGTTTTGAGTTATTTTGTTTTCTTTTGTCCCACTGTTTCACAGAGCGTTCCTTGCGGCCAAGGACCTGTTTTCCTATGAAAAGTACAGCGACCGCTATGGAAAGCCCAACAAAAGAAAGGGATTCAATGAAGGTTTATGGGAGATCCAGAACAATCCACATGCCTCCTACAGCGCCCCGCCTGCAGTAAGTTGCACCGCAATTTAAAAAAAAAAACATGGGAGTATTTTCTAATCGTTTCTGCCCATGTGATCTGATTTGTTTTAGAACCCTCGTGTCTCTGCTAGACATTCAATGTTCTAAGCAGTGTAAATGGCTTGGTTGTTAAAAAGCTACAAATGAACTTGTCTTGTCTTTTTATTAAAATGCTGCAGTTCAGACTAGGGGGTCCCGATGCCCAGCAGTTTAAGGTGTGATGATAATTGCATCATTTAATACTCAATTCTTACCAGGGAACTTTGCCGCATCTCTGCCCCCATGTTTGCTTTCGCTGTGAAGGAAAGGTTCAATGTCACAACCTTTGTATTAATCTTCTAATCGTTCCTTTTTTTGCAGCCCGCCAGCTCCTCTGACAGCGAGACCAACAACGCCGATGGAGGGAGTGAGGAGGAGGAAGAGGAGGAGGAGGAGGAAGAAGAAGCCCCCGTGCCGCAGAAAGTACAAGAGTCAGGAAGCGACGCTGACTCCGATTCTGGGAGTGAGGACCGAGGACAGGGTGGAGGAGTGAAGCGAAAGCCACCACCTGCTAAGGTAACTGACTGTTTCACCTACGTCTTATGCAACTATGTCGTTAAGCTGAATTGGAATTTTAACTGATGGTCACAGTTCTGGGTGGAAAAAAAGCAGCACTCCTCACACAACCAGCAACAAGTTAGCAGGCGTGTATGAAAAACATCTGCAGGGAAATAGTTGAAATAAATGCTGATATTTCAATGCATGTGTTGTTGTTTTCTAGCGGCCCCCTCCTCCAAAAAAGGCCCGCGGCTCTTCCAGTGACCGAAACGAAGAGGAGAGTGGCTCCCCCTCTGAATCGGACCCCACGCCCTCCGAGTCGGACTCTGGCAAGAACAGTGACCAGGTTATTACACGCGTGGATACGCACGTCAGGGTAGGACTGCTGGTTGGGACTAAACAGCCCATGTTCCTCGTTTGATTTCTTCCAACAGGACTTTACACCAGAGAAGAAATCTGGTGGACGCGGTGGAAAGAATGCAGGAGGCAGAGGGAAGAAAAAGGTGAACCACCAGCACAGCCAAAGGTTTTTGAGCTGTGTTTTCTTCCTTTAGAAAATCCTTCATTCACCTCCTCCTCCCCCCTCCCGCCTGTAACTTTGCAGAAGGCTTCGTCCGGCTCGGACTCAAACTCTGGATCAGGTTCCGAGAAGAAGGCAGCGGACAGCGACTCGGAGGACGAGAAGCCGCGACCGGCTCTGTCTGGCTCCGAGTCCCACTCCGGCTCCAAGTCGGATTCAGAGTCCGACCCGCCTCCCCGTAAAGCCCCACAGGCACGCAAGAAAGGTGAGGCTTCGTCCCTCTGCAGGTGAGAAGATTAGATGCGCTTGGTTTTGCTCATATAAATGTGCTCAGTGATTCTTCCTTTTTGCCTCCAGTCACAGAGAAGCCAGCACCAAAGCCTCGTGCACGGAAACCCAAACCCCCTCCGACAAAACGAGCACCCGCGTCCTCCTCTGACAGCGACAGGTCAGGCTGCTCCGCGGGTTCTTTTTCCTATTGATGATCCACTTTTTAATATATATATATATATATATGAATTCTAGGGAGCATAAAGGTTCCTTTTTTTCTGTTTCCTCCAGTGACAGCGGCACCGACCGCATCAGTGAATGGAAGAAACGCGACGAGGAGCGCAGGCGAGAGCTGGAGGAGCGCAGGAAAAAGGAGGAGGCCGAGGAGCTGCGCAGGCTGCGCGAGAGGGAGAAGGAGGAAGACGAGCAGAAGAAGAAGGACAAGGACAAAGATAAGGGCAAAAAAGCCAGTGACAGTGACAGCAGCAACAGCTCGGACGAAGGTGTGGACGATCACCCGTTGAAGAAGTCCAAGAAGCCGCCTCCGCCCCCGATCCCTGCGCCGTCGGACTCGGACTCCCCAGCACCAACCGAGGTACAGCCGCGAGGAAAACCGAACCGCTGGGGCCGCAGGTGACCGGGTGCAGTTGTAACGTTGGGAATTCTTGTGCTTTGCCCCCCACACTTCTAAAGGCTAAGAAGTCTTCCAAGAAGCCCGACAACCAGAAGAAGGCGAGAATAAAGAAAGAGAAGGAGAGGAAAGATCGGAAGGAGAAGGAGATAAAAGAGAAAAAAGCCAGGCGGTCTGAAGAGAAGTCTCGAGCGAGGTGAGTCCACATGGGGGAAAGGACATGTGAAAGTCATTAGAAGAGCTTTATTAAATAGTAATGTACACAGATCACAGAGTTCTCTGTTCCTCTCTCTCTCTCTCTCAGGTCTAAGCCTGAAAAACCCAAACGCAAACCAGAGAGGCCGCCAGAGAAGAAGGTGGAAAAGAAACGTGGTGAGTTGTTTCAAAAAGCCACACAAAGAGCAATTATGTTTGTTTGTTTTTATTTAGAGGGAAAATAGTTGATATCCACCAATTCCCAACGCTTCCTTCGTGTCCCCATGCAGAGCCATTGCCAGAAGAAAAGCTACAGAAACTTCACACTGATATAAAGTTTGCACTCAAAGTGGACAACCCAGTAGGTGACATCTAGATTTCGATAGTTTCCAATGTATCTCGTGTTTCTATGCGAGTAATAAATCTGATGTATTTGTGTGTTTGTAGGACATAGACCGGTGTCTACAGGCCCTGGATGAACTTGCAGCTGTTCCCGTCACCAGCCAGATCCTCCATAAGAACGCTGAAGTTATTGCCACTCTTAAAAAGGTGCCTTTTCTATTTACTTTTACTAACGTTTGTAAACCCAGTTTGTGTGAAGACCGGGGGAACCTCAGTTAAAAAAATATAATAAATCTATATTAAATATAGATACACATAAATATCTTCATCTATAGATTACATGATTTTCTCATTTTTAAACTAATATATAATTTTTGTTGCCATGTATTAAAAAAGTATTAAGTGTTCTGTGTTTTTTCATCATAACTCCATATAAACATGTAGTAACTTCACTTTTCCATGTTTACTCATAAACTTGATTGTATTCATTGCCTCAAGTCTATTTGCCAGATGTTAAATGTGGAATACAGCAAACCTTGATTTGCTTTTGTATAATCAGTCGGTACAGTGCTGTCATTTTGTATTCTGCAGCTTCTTTCATGTCTTTTTGCCGTTGTAGATTCGGCGGTATAAAGCCAGCAATGCAGTCATGGAGAAAGCCAGTGAGGTCTACAACAAGTTAAAGCTTCGCTTCGTGGGAAAGATGGAGGTGGCAGCTAAACCTCAGACAGAGGACAAGGAGCCAGAAGACGACGAGAAGGAGACAAAAGACTCAGGTTAAAAAGTCCCGCCTCGTATCTCGCCTCCACCTGGGTTTATATTGTCTACATTCCATCTGTATTATTATTATTTTAATCTATATTTGCATTGTGTAGACTCCACTCCGGTGAACGGCGAATCGGTACAGAAACAAGATGACGTGGATGTAGAAGACGATCCCAAATCACCCACACATGAGGAGAATAACGACAATGCTGCTTCAAGTCCAAACAGGTAACTCCCCCGTTTGAAGCAACATACAGAATCTTTGCTCTAAATGTCATTTGGATGGGCAGCTGACATGAGATGAAAGCAAAAAAAACGCTGAATACGTTGTGGGTGGGCCCTCGCGTAGCCTCAATTTGCTCGCCACGTCGAAAGCTCATGTGGCCGCGGTCGGATTGTGCACTCTCTTTAGACGGAGCCCGAGCAGCCCCGCTGAACCAGATCTTCACACGCACGAAGAAGCCGACAAGTCCATCTCTGCAGAGTCCGAACCGCCCGCTGTAGAGAGCTGAAAAGACCCTCAACCACCACTGGAGCGGACCAAGTGCTAAAGACGGTGGCCTCCCGGCTTGACGTCGTACAGCATTGCAACGCACACCCAGCATTTCCTACGGCATCTGTTCCGTCAGCGTCGATGTTTCGGATGTTTTGTACCGTGGTGACATCAAAGGGCTCCGTTGCTCACACTGATCGGTCCATTATTTATCACAGCGAAAAAGGAAAGCTTGTTAGTGTGGTAGTCTGTGCCGCTGCGCAAACTCCTTTTTTTTATTTCTTAAAATGTACTTTTTCTTTTATACAAACACTCGGCCCGTCCTGGATCTTCACCGTGTTCTCCTGCTTCCGGCTACCTGGTTCCCTCTAGCACACGGACTCCTGTTTTTGGATCTTTTACACTGTATGTATATGGAATGATCACATTTGAAGCACTTCTAACCGGAATTTAGGCCGAGGGAGTGTGAAATGAAACTTCAATCATTTTCATGGGAAAATGGAGCCACGCCGTAAATATTTTCGCTTGGAAGATTTTGTGCAGCCCTTCCATCTGTTGGCTTCATTTCTTTTTTTTTTTTTTATAAAGTCTACAAAATATCACAAAGGCCTCTTGTCTGTGTGTATGACATCGTCAGGGTGTTTAAGTACGATTTGTGAGTCTTCTATGTTAAGTATATATTTTGTTCTAATTATCTGGTCCTTGATCCAGTTAATTCAGTCTGAACTGTAAAGCCATTATCTGAGTCACTAAAAGCCGTTTTACAAATGAGTTCCATCTACATTTTTCTTTATAGACTTGTCTGCAAATATTGGCATTTACAGTATTGTTCAAAATAATAATCGCTGTGGAGTTAAACACCTTGCACTCTCGTCTCCCCATAGTGTCTGCTTTCAGTAACCTGCTTAAGGAATAGAATATCTGTACAGATTGCAAACTGCCCGTAAAAAGCTATTGAGATCCCTTGTAGCTGTGGCCCATTTTGACACGTTCCTGTCACAAGCATACAACAGGTGTTTTTAGTGCTATGTAAATTGTTAAAGCCTTTCTATGACTTAGTTGAGACTTGAATAAAAATCTCAGCATGGTTTTGTTCCCATCTCATTTTCTTATATATAAATATAAAGCACTCTCTCACAAACGGCCTCGCCATGTATTTGGTCATTTGTGGGTTTCTCGCTGCGAGTCAAGACTCGACCTTCTTGTGAGTAACACAATAAAAGGTTGACATTTCATGAGGGCTCATTCACATCAAGTTCCTCTTTCGTTATGATTTAGTATAGTTTGTTCGTTTCAAATGTACAGTGTTTTAATGCATTATGTTACTGTGGACGTGGGGGTCGGGGGGGGGGGGGGCGACTAGACCTTTAATTCCCCTGATTCCCATCTGGGAGTCTCGCATAATACTCGGGTCAGCTGACTTTAGACGCCATTTTGTCAGCCATTTCCTTCGCTGATCCATCTCCCAGCACAGCACACCGGCCTCAGCTTCCTCCTCCCCCCCCCACCCGCCCCCCTTCCCACCGGCTCGGTGAAAGAACAGCAACAGACCCCCGCACGCACGCACGGTACCCCGGGTGGATGAGAGACAGTGCCGAGGGTCGGTCGGAAGCCACTAGACCTCTGGAAGGCGCTTTGCCCCCGCGGGACGGCAGCGGTACAAGTCACGGGCGAACATGGCTCTGAAGATTGTCAAAGGGAGCATCGATCGGATGTTCGATAAAAATCTGCAGGATTTAGTACGTGGCATTCGGAATCACAAGGAAGATGAGGTAAAAGACAACACCAGCATCAACAACGAGCGAACGCTGTCGCGGAAAATGTTTGAAACTACAGATGCATCGATGTTTTAAAAAAAAGAAAAGTAACCGTTATCGGTGAGCGGCTAGCTAACGTTAGCTAGCTGGCTAACGCTGTGTAAGTCAACGTCAGGTAGGCTGGCCGGCTAACGGCTAGCGTCGGCTCGGTCGTCTCCCCCGCTAGCTAACCGTCACCCGTCGCTTTCCGCGCCTAATGGTTATTTGACGTTAGTTGAACACCCGGCGAGGGAATTGATGGCGTTGCTAACTCCGTGGTGAGGTTACATGTATGGTTTTAGGCACCGAGAAGGGATGAAGCGATGCTAATGACGGCTAGCAAACCTGGCTGGCTAACGGGCAAGACCGTGACTTGGTGAGAGGAAGCATTTCGATGAGATGATCCCAGTTCGTCAGGGTTACTTGTCGGCATGACTGAGATCATACCACAGAGTGATGCTAATGTGAACACACACACACACACACACACACACACACACATCAATGAGGCCTCCGCCGTCGTTAGCTTTCGGTGACTGATTAATTTAGGGAGAAGTATCCAGTGTTTGTTTGACTTGAAGACGCCAGAATCAGTCGACTGTTGAATGGATGACGTAATGCTCTTGAGTACCTGGCGCAAAAGTTCATAATATAAAAGAGGCCTTACTATGCACATTATGCTTAGACATGCAGACACGACCACTGTGGTTTTCATTTTATTTTATTTTAAACAATGAAAATCCCATCACCTCTTCTCCAAATGTACTAATGCCAGAAGCTCGTTTTCATCCCATCAGTGATGAGAAGGTGAGCTCATCCCTGTCACAGCTATGTGTGTGATGAAAGGCTCATCACAGCACCAGACACCAGTGGGATGGGCCAATAGAGGGCACTGTTTTTTTGGGGGGGGGGGGGATTGTTTAATACAATCCAAATAAATTCCAGATCGTGCTGAGGGGGGTCTGAATTGCACATCATCCTGCTCTTCTTGTGAGCTCTGTGTTTGGCTTTGTCTCACCTGTCTCGAGCTGTGTGTCAGGTGTGAAATGTAGAGGTAGCGTGTCAACACCGAGGGGCAACTTAAGGATTTGAATTCCCTCTCTCTACGTGGCATATTTGTTCTGCTCACCGTCTCACCTGAATACCAATTTACAAGCATTTTAGGTCGATATATAATACACACATTTGTCTCGATCATTTGTCTTATAATGTCTTAATAATTTTGGTCCATCAAGCACTTGGATTGCTAATTGCTCGAGGAAACTATGGCTTGATCTCTTGATGAGCTGAGCGGTTCACCAGATGTAACCCAACCTGGGCAGGCTAGATAAGGTGGTGGTTGCCCAGTCAACAGCGGACAGTTTGCTGAAATATTAATAGCTTTTGTGTGTGTGTGTGTGTGTGTGTGTGAGAGAGAGAGGGCTTGTGTGTGTGTTGACTTTTTCCTGACCAGCCCTCCGTTTGCTTTTCACATGTGTGCTGCGGCCTTGTATGGTTCATTCATTCACTCTCCTTCCCACGCCTATGGAATGGCTGGCAGGAAGGCAGGAAGGGAGGGCGCATCTCCAAAGTGTAATTCTGTTAGATTAGTCACTAAATTTCTGGTATTCTATATTCTCTATATTTGTAACTCATGTCTCTTTAAAAAAAAATTAAAAGCTGTAGCACAAGTTTTCTCTCATCCTTTTTCTTTCCTTTGTGAGTAAAGCTCTTCCAGTTAACTGAAGCTCCGTCTGCATTAATGTGTCAGATATTCTTTTAAAACTACATTTACTTCATTGGGTTCTAAATTGCTCATAGATGAGAATTGTGATTCCGAATGTTGTGCTTGTGTCTGGTGATCTTGCGTTAAATCGCTCCCAGCCTGCTCTCCAAACCCGGGTAGCCAGAGTAGCAGCATTAGCCAATCTCCCCCCCACGGCCTCCTCCTGTCACTGTCTCATGACTGCACACACATGACTGGCACACACTCACACCCTACACAGCGATATGTGTGTTTGTTTTTGCCATGTTGCTCCTCTGAACAATGGTTGACTGATTGCTCCAAACTGAGTTCGACTTCTACTGTTAAATAAAATATAAAACCTTTTGTCTTTCATTGAAATCTCGTGTGTTATAACAGGGCAATAAGTAACTGCGATTTAGTAGTAATACTCATGATTCTGTATTTTAGCAGTCCGCTACTGGCTTCCATTCCCCTGGAACATACGCTTTCATAAGTCATGAATATGATGAAATTAGACTTGGCATCACTTTAAATCCAGCACCGATGACTTGTGACTTGAGTTTGACTTACGACTCAATGCCCACAGTCAAAGAATTAGTTTCATGCCAGAAGCACATTAAGAAACGCAGCCTGCGTGATACTTCAATAGCAAAATCTAGGCCAAATCCTCCAACTGGTGGATAGCAACCAGAGACGGACGAGGATTTTTCAGCTTGTCCCTGGTGCTCTGTAGAGGTCTCCCACTCTGGATATCACTCCACCCAATCTGATCTGCTGCCTGTTGTTTGTCTGCCCTCAGGCCAAGTACATCTCCACGTGCATCGATGAGATCAAACAGGAGCTCAAGCAGGACAACATCGCTGTCAAAGCCAACGCTGTGTGCAAGCTCACCTACGTAAGATCTGCCGACATCCTCCCAGACCCTTTCTGTCTTTCACTTCTTCTTGATACACGTGATGAAATACACAGTCATTGTTTAGCCTTCCTGTTTTCACAATGAGTTTTAATGTTCAAATGGGAAATGTTGGGTTGATGTTAAACCTGATTTGGTTGTGATGGCTGTTTTCACATTGCCTTGTGCAGAATCAAAGCCTGTTTCGGTTTAAGGGCAAATAAAAGCAACCATTTACAAACCTGCGTAAAACATTTTTAGAAAGCAGCTACAACACTGAATCTACCAATGTAGTTTTTTAGCTGTAGTTGAGTCGATATACAGCCTAGTCGCCAGCCCTTGTTGAGAAAAGTGTACAATTTCAGTTTAAATAAAAGCACTCGTTCTATTTACTGCCCGGGCACACATTTAGGTTAAGATGGCTTTTTGCAGCTGGCGTCTGTGTCCACTTTCAAAGCTTTCAGCTCAAATCATTTGGCCTCCCTGTGCAACTCGACGTCAGCTTAGGACCCCCCCTCCTCCTCTTACTCACCCACATCACTCTGTTTTATCTCCTTCTGTGTTACAGCTCCAGATGCTGGGCTATGATGTCAGCTGGGCCGCTTTCAACATCGTTGAAGTCATGAGCTCCTCTAAGTTCACATACAAGGTTATAATGAAACATGTTGAATTTTGTAATCATTGTATTTTACAACAGTGGTTCTCAACTTTGAACTTTGAATTGTTCTAAGAATTCCAAAAACCTTCTTCCCAGATGTATCAAAATGATAAATTAACTACATAATACAATGGAATGTTTGCTAGCAAACAGGGTTTTTTAACTTGTACACGATGGTGTGTTGGGGTTGCCGTGGTGATATTCAACGTGAATAGCTGCTGTTTTAGTCAGTAACACTTGAATTTCATCAGTATGTAATTCCTATTTTTTGCTGCAGAGGATCGGCTACCTGGCGGCCTCCCAGTGCTTTCACGAGAGCACTGATGTCATCATGCTGACAACCAATCAGATCCGAAAGGTCAGTAAAGTCCCCCCCCCATCTCTTGTCCAACCTTTTCTGTCTGTTAAACTATCCCTTTCTAATTCCTTGGTTTCACCCCCCAGGATCTCAGCAGTCCCAACCAGTATGACACGGGTGTTGCTCTCACCGGCCTCTCTTGTTTTGTGACCCCTGACCTGGCTCGGGACCTGGCCAATGACATCATGACACTGGTGAGTCACGCACAGTTTGTCAAAAGGTTCACCGTGCTTGTATTCCCTTTTCTGGCCACAGTTTCCTTCGTGGACTCCTCCTGGGTCTTCATTTACTTCAGAACGTTCATTCAAGAAGCGGTATTATTCCTTTTTCCTCCCTGCCCTAGATGTCCCACACTAAACCCTACATCAGAAAGAAAGCGGTGCTGATCATGTACAAGGTGTTCCTGAAGTACCCAGAGTCCCTGCGACCTGCTTTCCCCAGACTCAAGGAGAAACTGGAGGACCCAGACCCAGGTACCAGAACCGACGCTGCATTCAGTCGCTCACGCAGGGCGTTTGTCACCTGAAGCCTGTGAATTATTCAGCAACTAAGAATGTGAGATTACCGGACTACTGCTGTTGTGCAGACTAAAACATTACCTGACTACATACCTGTGGGTGACCAGGAACCTTCCCGGGATGTTGCGCTTACTTATTGTACACCTGCGAGAGAATATCCGAGTCCGACATTCTAAAAGGGCTTTGTTATTAAAGCTACTTTCAAATATAAAGTGAAAACAATGTACTTTCCTCACTACTCCTTAACATTTTAAGCACATATTGAAAAGGAGTTTCCTTCTTTGCCCGTGTCACACTGCTACAATATTGCACATGGTTTGCACTAGTCAGAGGTAACTCCATTAACCCCGATAAAATAGGAAAAATAAAATCATGTATTCCTGCGTTGTTCCTCTTCAGGTGTCCAGTCTGCAGCGGTTAACGTTATCTGTGAGCTGGCTCGGAGAAATCCCAAGAACTATTTGTCTCTGGCACCACTCTTCTTCAAACTCATGACTTCTTCCACTAACAACTGGGTTCTCATTAAGATCATCAAGCTGGTAAGTCAACAGCCTAGAGGGGACTTTGGTTTGTCGACTGGTTATGATTTTACTACGTGAGGTCGCTGCCATTCTCTTTATTACCATGCATAAACCTCAACATGCTCCATACGGGGTTCACCAAGCGATGGTTGTGTGTGTGTGTGTGTGTGTGTGTGACACTAGTAGGATTGCATCACGCATACCGGGATAAAGCATCATAAAAGAGGAATGGATACCACTTCCTTCAGCTGTTTTAGAGGTTGCATTGCTTAGCAAGTTGTATTTGTGTGAGCAGAAGCACCACAAGCGTAAAGTTTTCTTATACAAATAAATGATTGCCTTTTTAATGAAAGGATTCCCACGTGAGCCATACAGCGTGTCATACTCTACAGCGTGTCATGGCCCTCTCTGTGTTTGCTTTACAGTTTGGTGCACTCACACCTCTGGAGCCGCGCTTGGGAAAGAAGCTGATCGAACCTCTGACCAACTTGATCCACAGGTGGGAGGAAATCCCTTCATTAAAAGTCTGTCACAGTTTGTAAAAGCGGTTTGATCCGACGGGTAGATCAATAATAATTTGTCCTTTTCTCTCACAGTACCTCTGCCATGTCTCTGCTCTACGAATGTGTCAACACTGTGATTGCAGGTACTTCAGTCTTCAATTTGTGCAATGTATTGGTCTTAGTATTGTGTGTCTAAGCTCAATTTCAGCCCCCTTTTTTTTAAAGTAAAATGTGTTTACGGTTAAGTAAAATCTTCCGATACCCTTTTAAAAAAATGTTCTCACAATCTGTTTTAGTTCACATTCAGCTCTAATATCTAATGTGTCCCCTGTGCAGTGTTGATTTCCTTGTCCTCTGGGATGCCTAACCACAGTGCTAGTATCCAGGTAAGCCTCCGGGGTCCACTCCCCATCAACGTTAGATATTAATCATAACCTTTTCTAACCCAGTGGAACCAAAACGCATGCTTTCACCATGTTTCTTTCTGTTCAAAAGTCTGTCTGTTCATACGTGTTTTAAAGTAGAGACGCAGCAGCTGTAGGAGAAGCTAGCAGGTCTCATGAAGCAAAGTTTTTTCCTCTTCCTGTCAGTAATGCACGACAACAAAAACCCTTTTGCACCTTTTTAAAATATAAACCCCCACTTTCGTTTGTCTCATTCAAAACTTGATTTTGATTGGAACTGTGTGGAAAGTTGAACAGTGATTTTAATGGCGCTCACTCTTTGTTTCAGCTCTGTGTGCAGAAACTGCGAATCCTGATCGAGGACTCGGACCAGAACTGTGAGCCCTCTGTCAATGCCTGCAGTGTGTCATTTTCTCATTGTCTGCGTGTTTCTCACCATGGAACAGTCCACCCTCTTAGAGCACAATAATGTAGACCCCCTGACTCTGGGTAACTCGAACATCATGACAGTCCCCCTCTCAATCAGGGGGCCTGCTTACAATCGCATTTCCTCAAACTCACTATTCCACGTTCACCCACTAATCCTGTGTTGGACACACAAAAGTGAACAACTTTCCAAACGTGCTGCTTCAGCTTTAAAACGATAAAAGGGGCAAGCCTGCGATTCTCAAACACTCCCTCGCACACCTCCAGTTGAAGCTGAGTACTGCAGCCGTTCGAGTTATCTGGACATCCATATGTAGATAGTTTGTGTGTGGAGTAGAGTAGACCAAGTTAATGGTGCAGACTGTGAATCTGGTGTTTGAGCTTTTCCTTCATCCTTTTTACTGAAGGTCATAGTTGTGCTTTAGCTGCAGCACTTTCAAATACGTTGAGTAGTTAAGTGAGGTGACAGATCACAGCTCTGGAGCTCCTTCATTGATTTAAAATATTACATGCAAGCAAAACAAATGACACATTTAGAGTTTAGTCAAGACGTATGAACGAAGAATTGGTTGACGGCGTCGTGCTTTAGATGTGTTTACTGAAATGGGGAAAATTTGAAATGCCTTTTTTTTTTTTTTTTTTTTTTTTTTTTAAATCACAGCGCCCCCCCATCACCCCCTCCCCTCCACCGCAGGCACACACCTATTGATCGTGACACTTGACAGGTTCTGTCTTTGCCAAATTAGCCGATAGACGGGAAGGCTGTGACTCAGCAGATTTCTGAATTGTTCTGAATTTTAGTATGAAAAGCAGCCGGCGGTTTGACCAGATGAAGAAACACAAAACTACTGTTTCCTGTGTGTTTGTGTGTGTGTGTGTGTGTGTCCGTGTCCTTTCCACATTTCTGTGTTGTGTATGTTATGTTAATATTGTTTCACTATGTTTTTCTTTTTCTCATATATACATTAGTCAATTAAGTTATAAGTTGTAGTAGTAACTGAAATATTTTTTAACAAGTAGTCCAGTTTCATAGTAGTGCTCTGTCCTCTGGAAGCAAAAGGATTTCCAAAAGTATAGTTTTTCTATCTCCCAGGTATTGTATTATTTCTCTAACAGCAGTCACCGTCAAGTAATGATAGTCAGGTTCATAAATAATAAAAGTTTGAATAAGAAAATACAACAACAACACACTTAATAAAGTGGCAATCCTCAAGATATTTACCTATTTAATTGTATTCCTGGTTGTAACAGCAGATGTGTTTTTATGCTACGAGTCCCAGAAATGTGAAACAAACAAACATTGTTTTTGATAGTTGGGCAATAATTGGCATTTTTAGTGATCTTCTGTGATCGAATGATTATTTTGCTGCGCAAGACTGCAAAAGGAAAAATACTTTGAGTTTGTGCAGCTTGTCGCCTGCAGCTCATCTTACAACTCGCCACGGCTGATCTTTCTAGTGTCATCACTCTAAGCAATATTACAAACATTTCTTATGTCAAAATTGCAGGGGAAAAAAAGAATTAGCTTTTTAGCAATTTGTGTCAATCGCCAAACCTCACATTTCCTGGGACTACTTCACAACTTAAATCAACTTGTGTTTCGCATATTCTGGGAACACTGAGTTGGTAAAACTGCAAATTTATCATTATAAATTTTCTAATACCTTTAGTTAATCCATTCAGTGGGCCGTAGGCCTCATTCAGACATCTATTTAAATGAAAATCTTTTCGACTGCCACTTTAATGTAGAGAATAATTTTAGCCGACTCAAGTCAATAGTTTGATGTCCTAGTGTATTGAGAGCTGAAGGAAAAACCTCTGAGTCCATGTTTGTTGTTCTAGTGAAGTACCTGGGCCTGCTGGCCATGTCAAAGATCCTGAAGACGCATCCCAAGTCTGTGCAGTCTCACAAAGACCTCATCCTGCAGTGTCTGGATGACAAGGACGAGTCCATCCGCCTGAGAGCTCTGGACCTGCTCTATGGCATGGTACGGAACAAAGATGTTTGTTTTCACACAAGGTTTTTTTTCAGGCAATTCCTCAGTTTAGGTAATGCTGCTTACTCAGATTTGCAGTGCCAGAGTATCTCCATCTGCCGGAAAATGACCTCTGTTCTTAGCAGGGCAGGAAACTACATTTTAAATTCTAAATTTACGGGAATTTAATTGCAGAGTTCACCTCCCACTTGTACTGTTTAAATTGCTTGATTTAAAATAGGCTTGTCAGGAAATTATCCAATTGCTTGCCAAAATAGCAACTGGATACTTTACTCATAACCAGTAGTTGATATTATTTTGTCATACAATACAATTCTATATGTTCTCTGTGAAAGTTATTACAATCAATGAGTCCTTCATTTTAAATCAGCTTCAGTTTCTCTCTCTCTGTGTCGGTCAAACAAATAATCTTTTTAAAGATTTCCCTTTATGTCTAAATTTGAGCCTTGCTGCTTTCCCAGGTATCCAAAAAGAACTTAATGGAGATTGTAAAGAAGCTGATGCTGCACGTGGACAAAGCTGAAGGAACCACCTACAGAGATGAGCTGCTCACCAAGATCATAGACATCTGCAGCCAGAGCAACTACCAGTACATCACCAACTTTGAATGGTCAGTTGCTCTTCACCAACACTGAATTTGAGTATGAAGTCACTGTATGATGTGATTTTTGTTTTTTTTACCCGCACCTCTTCATGTCCCCTCCACAGGTACATTAGCATCCTGGTGGAGCTGACCCGGTTAGAGGGCACACGGCATGGCCACCTCATTGCCTCCCAGATGCTGGACGTGGCCATTCGGGTCAAAGCCATCCGGGTCTTTGCTGTTGCGCAGATGGCCACTCTGCTGGACAACGCCCACCTGATGACGGGCAACGTGCAGCGGAAGGGCATCTGTGAGGTCTTGTATGCGGCCGCCTGGATCTGCGGGGAATTCTCTGAGTATGCTTATTTCGCACACACACACAGACTGATTTAAGTAAAAGAAGACGTGAACATACAAAGCGAGCGATTCCCACAATAAGGAAGCTAAACCCAAAGTAATTTAAAAGTGTCATGACTTTATTATGATTATAATAAGGTATGCTACGTAACACTGAATCCATAGGGAGAGATGATTGACCGCTTGGTTCAGATCCTTTGTTTTCTTCCCCTTTTAAGTGTCCATGTGGTCCGTTGACACAACCTCTCGTTTTCTTTACACGCTCTGCGTTGCGAATCTGTGTCTCTAAATTGGGCAAAAGGCTTCCCATTCTATATAACATGTTTGGGATGTTGTATTTTCTGATGTGTAGGTTATTTCAGTTGATGGATGCATTTTCATCTCTACACACATTTGCTGCTTTCCTTCTAAATGTATGTGAGTAAATGTACTTTTCAAATGGGCCTTTCTCTAAATCCACCTCTTCCCCGTAGACACTTGGAGAACCCGACACAGACGCTAGAGGCCATGCTGCGGCCGAAGGTGGCCACCCTACCGGGCCATATCCAGGCGGTGTATGTGCAGAACGCAGCCAAGCTGTTTGCCACCGTGCTTAAGAGCCAGGAGGGGAACACGGACAGCACAGCAGCACAGGAAACCAGCCAGCTGATGATAGAAAGGCTGCCGCTGTTTGTCCAGAGCGCCAACCTGGAGGTGCAGGAGAGGGTAAGGTGGACATAAGGATATGAGTCACAACTGGAGATATCTGCCTTTGACATTTGGTATTGTATAGCTGGAAAGGTTGGTGTAGAAATCTGATAAATGTCTGCAAATCTTCCTGACTGCTCCCCCCATCCCCCCGTCGCATGTCCTCAGGCGTCTTGCATCCTGCAGCTGGTCAAGTACATCCAGAAACTGCAACAGAAGGACGTAGAGGTAGCGGAGGAAGTCATCGCTCTGTTTGACGGAGAACTCAACCCTGTAGCCCCAAAAGCACAGAAAAAAGTGCCTGTTCCTGAAGGGTACGTTTTTCCCAACACACATACAAGCAGTTATCAACAATACATTATTACGTGAATGTATCGGTCATCTTTTTGAGTGAAACCCGTAGGATCTCGTTCATGTTAATGTGGTCCACCAGCAACTCTACGGAAAGGTGTAATGTGTCCATTAGTGCGCACCAGTGGAGCTCAAGTGAGTTTGTTTGTGCAGTCTGGACTTGGATGCCTGGATCAACGAGCCGCCGTCTGAGAGCGAGTCTGAGGACGATCAGCCCAAGGCTATTTTTGCCAAGGAGGAGACCAAACACTCCCGCACCCGTCACACAGAGGTGGACGAGAAAGAGCTGGCAAAGGTGAGCTGGGCCGAACACGCAACACAAATAGTGTATTTGTACAGTGGTGCTTCACCTCGCAGGAATGAACACCAGGGGTTGATTTTTACTCCATTGCTGTTCAACATCATGGAATTAAAAGTTCCACATAGACCAGATTTAGATTAGAACTACATTGTGCTGGAATGGTCTTTGACTCTCAATGGATGTACAATTGTACAGGTATTTAGGACTTTTGCTATGCACTATTAATAGCTTTAAATGTAATAATTTTATGAAACATATTTGCTTACTACTTTTACCATTGCAATAGCAGCATTTCCCAGTAAGAGAAGATGTGAATAGTAAACTCGGGCACTGCAGCTTGGCGTTACATCAGTTGCACCTCATCTGCATGGACCGAGTTGGTTGAAAACAAACATACCTTCCCTTTTAAACACGTATTTAATGTAATGTGTTTAAGGTAGCAGGCAGACAAGTGATATGTCTGCATTTACAAGCTAAGAGAGAAACTTAGTTTCAGCACCAACTTCATTGATTACACCGACTCATCGCCAGAGAGTTTACTTTTTTCTAGACAACGTTCTGTTTCTTTGTGTTACAGTGTGAATAGTTTTCCCATGTGGTATCTCTCTATTCATAAACCCAGGTAGGATTAATTGATGGAACTTTTTTTTTGTTCCCCCAGAGGAGAGAAGTCAGGAAGCAGGAGCAAGCCAACAACCCGTTCTACATCAAGGCCTCCCCTTCCTCTCAGAAGGTCATTTTTCACTGCACATGTCTGTTATATTCCAGCAACAAACACACAGAGCGTCTGCAGCACAAGACCTGTTTTTAAATGCATGTCCTTTGTGTAGGTCTACCAGGAGGCTCCAGGAGTGGAGCACATCCCGGTCGTGCAGATTGACCTCAGTGTGCCTCTCAAAGTGCCAGGTAGCACACGCGCTTACAACACCATTCCAAAACCCTCCTGTCACAATACGACCCTCACTTCATTTAGAATCAACAAAAATCGGACCCCATGGTGTATTTAGTACGCAGACATGCTGGTATTGGATATAGAAATATTTAGATAAGAATGTAAACCAAAGAGATGGTTGAATGAATCAGTGTTAAGAGTCTTCCTCACATAACCACGCTAAGCTTCATTTGTATTGTATTGTAATATTTTTGTTTTGTTCTTTCTCTTTCATCTTTATTAAAATACGACAATGCACGATGCATCTTCTCTCCCTAAGGTCTCCCCATGTCTGACCAGTACGTGAAACTGGAGGAGGAGCGTCGGCAGAAGGAGAGGGTGGAGAAGAAAAAGAAGGACAAGAAGAAGAGGAAAGAAAAGGGCGGCGGACGACGGAAGAAACGCGATTCGGGTCCAGAGAGTGAGGAGGACATCACGCCCGCGCACATGGTGGACATCGTTACCGAGGAGATGCCGGAGGTACAACAGATCTGTGCAAACCGCACAAAGGCATCGCAGTAATAATAGTAATAGCTTGAACTCCACCAAAGAGACACTGTAAACATGCAGATATGAATCTGTCAGAAGTCAAAGAACACATAACTGCCGTTTGGTGGATTCGACTGTGAATGAACGTCAACGTCTCTGCAGATCGCTTTACATTTAGTGCATTGTGGATATTGATCGACTTTGAAGTTATTTTCTCTGCGTTATTGATTTTTACCCTCTCGTAACTTCAGAATGCCTTACCCAGTGATGATGATGACAAAGATCCCAATGACCCTCACAAAGCCCTGGACATCGACCTGGACAAGTGAGTCCACACGATGTAGATGCAAATGTTCAATACAACAATGTGTCCATAGTTAACTGTAGCGTAAGAGCATATGTAGTTACTGAATCCCATCATCTACGTATCTAAAGAGGCCAATCGAAGAATCCTTCAAATTTGAGCTTGTTTTTTTTAGAGCTGAGGAACCCTGACGTTTGAATCGTGATCATCTTTTTTCAGTCAGTGATCATGTCCTGACCCTCCCGTCTGTAGTGTCACAGGCGATGTGACTCGGCCCTTTGCCTCCTCTCACTCATTCTCATGGCGATCTGCTTTCTGCTTCCTCTTTTCTATGCCTGCACACACCCATCACTGCCTCTTTGTGTGGGCAGCTTGATGGAGATGGCCGCGCGCAGGTGAGTTGCACCCCGGCTGCAGGATCTGGGCTCCGACTGCACATGGATTGCCCCTCTGTCTTTCTCTCTCCATCTACATAGTTGCCTTGCCGCTCTCACTAACATAGCCGCTCAGTCTTATCAAGCTAGTTTGCAGTACCTGCTCCATTTTTTGCTTCTCTTTCCCAGCTGTGTCAATATCGTTTATTGTAGTCTAATATCTATAACTTCTTTTTAAACATTCTATAAGCTTGACAATATCAGCGGCATCTAATTTTGAAATACATTGTTTTTCAAAGAAGAAGAGTTCTCCTGAAAGAAGATACATCTTCAATTAGAGTTCCAATGTTCCATTTTTAACTGGTGGCTGCTGATATTCTCGGGACTTAAAGCTTTCATCGCCTGTCCTCCTGGAACAGACTCCTAAAAGCCGTTTTGGCACTTAATACCGTCTTTTGAAACTTATGCCAGGAGTTCGGTACTATAATTCTTTAGCTCACATTTCCCAGGTTCTCTGTTGATCAGATGAACCATGCTTCCAATTAGCTGCCTGCTGTTTTTTTTGTGAAGACAAACATACATTTCAGTCTAAAATCCTCCCTCATTATAATAAAAAAAGTAAAAATAAAAATAATTAAAGCATCTTGAAGTGAAAAAAGCACATATTCCCGCCCAGACATAGTTGTGTGCCATTTTTTCCTTATAGTGAATAACCAGCAGGGGGCTGCATTGCATGTATTTATTGCTTTATAGGGTCAGGCTTGGTAGAAATAAACTTGACAGCTCCTATTCAATATGAAGGAATGTATTTGTATAGTTTCTAGATGTCGAAGAAGTTCCAGTGCTTGAGCTCTGCCAGACGAGTGGCTTAACGCAAACGCTTTGAATGCGACGCCGCTGCTGCACAGTGCGGAAAATGTGCCTGAATACAGTAGATGTCTGCACCCTTTAACCCTTGTTAGCACTACCACTTCCAGTAAATACAGTATTGATGATTTTTCAGATGGTGGCACCAACTCCAGCAGGATTTCATAATCTCATCACAAGTCCTCAAAGTCCAAATGTCTTACCTCTGCGTTTTCCGTCCGTCCAGGCCGCTTGCCGACAGCGAGAAGCTGCCAGTCAGGTCACATCGTGCGGCCGAGGCTCTCAAAAGCCCGGCGGAAGATGGTGAAGCCGAGGCCGCCGCTTCGCTCGAGCCCAAGAAGAAGAGCAGCAAAGAAAAGCGAGAGAAGAAGAAGGATAAAGAGAAGGATAGGAAGGTGAGGATGAACTCGTATTTTCTTCCTGGAAATCACACTCGCCTGTTTCAGTTTAACTGGTGAACCTACAGTATGGATCTGTATTCACGGGAAAAGTAACTGTCAATTATTGCGACGTGATGAGTCGGATGTTGTGGTTCTCAACCTTTTTGTTGTGAAACAGAGCTGAATTTATTTGTGGGGGGGGGGGGTTTCCGCAGAAGAGCAAAGACGACAAGAAGAAGAAGAAGCACAGACGGGTGGAAAAGGGGGAGGATCTTCTCGGGGGTCAGGCAGACGGGCCTGTTGCCCAATCAGAAGAAACCAGCGAGGCGGCTGCCCCGCCCGCCGCCAACACTGCTGAGGTACGTCTTGCTAACCGAGTTTGTAGCAAAGATCTGACTTGATCCAGAATTCTGATTTTTAAATTAAAGAACGAGATCCAAAATGAACGATTTAAGATTATGTTAAGTACAGTTTCTGCCAAAGGATTACACGCACGCAGATATCTTCCGATCATTTTCATTGACACCACGCTTCCATTGCTTCCTCCCAGCCTTTCTTTCAATCGGCTTTAGTGATCAAGAAGTATCCGGTTCCTCGTAGCAGAGTCTCGCCAAATACTTGATTTATTGATGAAATAGAAGCGTGTAAACTCTGTATCCGTTTTCATGGAGAGCAGAAGGATACAGAACCTGTTTGGCCCTCGACCCCTCTCACCGCCTGGCACGCCTCTCCCTCCCTTCTTCTTCCAGGTTTCGGATCTGGATTTCTGGCTCTCAAACGCTCCAGTGCCCCCTAACACCCAGGTTGAGTGCCCCCCCCCCCCCCCCCCTTTCCCTCCCCTTATCCCTCCCTTTTCTACTTTTCTCACAACTCCATGTATTATCTATCTACTTCATATGTTCTTGTTTTTTTGCCATTCGTTCTCTCTACTGCATCTCGATTTTGATCACTCATCAAATCTTCACATCTTCAGCATCTCACACTTTGACACCACTTCCTGTCTTTCACAAGTTACATAACACTTTCCTCTCTCTCTCCATCCTTCCTCTGTTTCCCAGCATGTGTGTCTGCCCGCACTGTATGTATGTGTGTGTGTGTGTGTGTGTGTGTGTGTGCTCGCGTATTTGTCTCACAATGCCGGTGTTTTTCTTCCTCAGCTCTTGTTTTGCTCGCTGGATGTCGTGTCGGTCTTGAGGCCAAAGTAGATGTCGTTGTGTTGCTGATGTTGACAAGTGAGCGGAGGTTGTCTGTAGCTCGGATACAATTTTTTTATTTGTCCCTTTTATTTGCCACCACATGTCCTTTGTGGGCACATGCATGGACACCTGGCAGCAACGTCATCAGTCCTGCCACAGATTTTGAAGCTATTCTAATGCAACATGAAACGTGGCAACACGCCAACAGAGGCAGTGATGATCAAGACCGCCAGCTAGTGAACGTTGATGTAAACTCATCTCATACGTCTGATTTAGGGGGAAAAGCATATAGTTGACATGTTTGTTAGCCCTCAGTAGTTTACATAAACATGACCTTTGGTTTTATTTATGACCTCAGAGAGCTTTTTAAAGTGTCTTATTACAATTTAAAATGATGGTCTTGTATAACCCTTCAATAATGACACTGCAGGACATTTTTATCAAAAAGGAAAATCACTTGACTGCAAAGATGTTATCTCTTGGCAGTATGCTAAGCTAACACTGCTTGCCAGGCCTCCATATTGAACTGACCGGCAGCAATCTTTTCATCTAGCTGAGAAAAAAATGAAATGAGCACATTCTCTCAAATGTCACGCTGCTCCTTGAGCCGTACCAGAGCGCTCGTGATTTTTCACACACTATCGTATCTGCCATAACTTCTCCTGCTGGGTTTGTGAAATTCGGGCGTGTCAAGGCTTTTCAGGTTTTTAATCCTGTGAGCTTTCAAGTAAAAGCACTTCTGACCTAGAAACGCTACACTTTCAGGACATGCCTCGACGTGTCTTCTGTGGAAGAGTTGTTTTTCGCATTGGCTGTCACAGTGAACCCATAGAGGGCTTCCAATGGCGTCAATCAGGGATGTGCGGACAGCAGCTAGTGTGGCTGGTTGGTACAGTGCATTCATCAGGACATCAACTGGCACTGCACATGTTCAGATACCCACTTACATAAGACACTTGGTGTTTACTTGGCTGGCTCATTTGTAGTTTTGCATGTGAGGCACTGTGTTTTATTTTATTTTTTTTCCACAAATGAGTAAACTCTCTAACTTCACCTCTTTAACCTCTATCAGCACCGAAGTAGCAAACGCCATGTGTCACATGCGATGGTCACTACTAATGTGTGTGTGTGTGTGTGTGTGTGTGTGTGTGTGTGTGTGAACAGGAAGCAGCCACTTTAGCAGAAGCAGCCCCCGCGCACGAGACGGCCTCCGGCACGGCGCCGGACTCCGAGCCTGACGACGAGCCCAAAGACACCGAGCCGGAGGAGACTGTGAGTCCTCAATAATGACGCTGCGATAATTGCGAAGTAGAAAGCTCTGCTGTGGTGCCAGAGGTTCACAGCGACCCGACAGTATGCTGCACGTTGGCAGCCTCTTATTCTCACACGTTTGTGCAAATTACAGACCTGTCAGTTCTTGTGGGATCGCAGGAGGAAGATTTCTGCCAGTTGTAACCCTGTCTAAGTACTGGGATATCTGACTTTTACTATGTTCCTTGTGGGTGGTTTTCAAGGATAAGAAATCCTCCAAACACAAGAAGAAGAAGCAGAAAAAAGAGAAGGAGGATAAGGAGAAGAAAAAGAAGAAGAAGCATCATCACCATCATCACCACAGTGACGGAGGCGGGGAGGAGTCGGTGCAGAACGGCACCATGGAGGAGGAAGAGCCTCTGCCGGTCAGTGTTTGGCGTTAACAGCCTAACGCCGATCAAGTGCGAATTAAACATTCAGCAAGCAATATGCATTTAGGGGGGGTTCACATGTCACTATCCTCAAAGACACAAATAACCTGATGCTACATTATGATTTATCATCATTTTGCCTCCACTGTTTAAACCCACCTGACTGCCACAAACACACACACACACACTCTGTGTGAAGCGGCTCCTGTTGCCTGCTTAGCATACAGAGTGACAGAGAATGCCTGTTTTGACCTGAGCTCCTCTCCTTTCAGCCCATGTCCAATTACTGCCTGCTGGCTGAGAGCTCCTACATCAAGATGGTGAGTGATGGAGCGACTTGATGGAAAAATGATGTTTTTCAATCACCATCTGAGAAAAATAGTTTTGTTCCCTGTTTGGCGTCAATATAATTGTATTTAACATCATCCAAAGCTGTTGGCAGCATCTGGTTGTGTTGGTCATTCTTTATCCATGCGATTTAATTAAATTACTAATTCACTTTATGATAGCGGGGTGATGAAGAGACTCAATCAGCTCTGTTGTTGCGTCGCCTCCATATTTCACTGCAATAAAATGAACAAGTAAAATGTTTGGTGCTAATAAAATCCTTCATTTTCCCTTTGAGCAAATTATAACCGAGCTCTGCGTAGACGGATATGGAAACCATTGTTAATGTGCAAGTCGAGGCTGTTTGTGAACAGAAGCTACTACAGTAGTGCCAAAAAAAGAACGTATACAGATCCTCTCTTTCTGTCTCTCTCTTCAAAGATGATCGAGGATACCAATCAGGTACTAGATGACAGAAAACTATTAAATCATTTTTCTAGATGTGTTTCTCTCGCTTTTGTTCTTGATTCTCTTCACAAATTAATCTTCCAAGTGCCGACAGCGTTAACTTTTCTGAGTTTGTCCTTTTTTTTTCTCTTGTGCTCTGACTGGTTTCGTGGAAGCGGCGATGTGTGCTTTGGTGTTGGGTTTATGAATCAAGAGTTGCTGTGTTTACTTTATTTAATCATTGAACTACCAAGAGGGAGAAAGAGATACGGCTTTTAAAAAAGTTTAAAAAGTCTTTCCCCTTGCGAATGACTTAGAAGCGTCTTTTTCTCTTTCTTCTTCCTCAAAGGAAAATGACATCCAGGGCAACCTGCAGGATGGCAGTCAGGTGGTGGTGTCTGTTATATTTGAAAACAAGTGTGACAGCTTCCTTAAATCCATGGAGTTCAACGTCCTGGACTCTCTCAACTCCAAGCTGCAGAGGCCAGAGGGGTCGGGTCCACATGACGGCCTCACCGTCCCCTTCCAACTTCCACCTGGTCAGTGACCACGTACCCATTTCTCTGTGTCGCCATTCTAAAGTCTGTGCGTACCTCCGTTGTAATTGCTTCGGGAAGTTGTGTTGAGTCTGATAACTTTTCTCTTCAGGGGTGTCCAATGAGGCGCGATTTGTCTTCACCGTGCAGAGCATCGTAATGCCCCAGAAACTGAAGGGAACCCTCACCTTCATAGTGAAGGTCTGAAGGAAAACACACACACACACACAATCATCTCACCAAAGTTAATCCAACTTTTTTTCCCTTATTTAGCTACTGCCTTTCCCCAACATGCCAAAAACAAATTGTTGGATACTGTGCTGAAAAATTAATTGTCTATTTCCCTTGTGTCGGTGGGTTAGTAGTACAGAAGCCTAAGCGAGATCACGAGTCCCAACCACTTCCAGTTTTCATTTTGGTAACCCAGCCCGCCCCGAGGTGTCTCCACAGGTCCCACAGGCCAAACTAGAATTGTCCTTATTGATTATCCGTATTTGTTTTTGGGTTGCCACAGAATGAGGACTCCTCCACACACGAGAAACTGGACTTCAAACTGCACTTTACCTGCTCGTCCTACCTAATCACTACTCCTTGCTACAGGTTGGTGTTGCATCTCGAATAGTCCTTGAAATAACAGTTTTTCTTAAGCTTGTGTCCATGTTGTTAAAGGGTCATCCCTGTGTGTTGTTTTTATATTTTTGGTGCAAAATAAGAAATGGTGTGATTAACTGTGGCACCAGAGGGGAAACCTGTGGATCACAAAAAGCCTTTTTAAAAATGATCGTGATCATCAGTTGAGCTGAATAACCGCAGTAAACGCTATAACGGGTTGGTTGTTAGTTTCAGAGCTTTAGTTCCTTCGGAACAATTTGCAAATGGAGTTCCTTCTGTTTTATTTGGCCAGTGATGCGTTTGCAAAGCTGCTTGAGTCGGGGGACCTGAAGTGCAGCTCTGTCAGACTGGAGGGAGTCAGCCAGCCGTTCCACCACCTACTGGCCAGGATCTGCTTCCACCACCATTTTTCTGGTACATATGCACACACAGCAGGGCCAAATAATATCCAGTGACAGACTTGTGCCCTAAAACAGGAAAGTACCCGATGAGTAGAGTCTTCCACTTATGGGAATCCAGAACGCAATGTGATTGTGCCCATCGAGTAAGCCCCATGTGACAAAGGGACATGGAGATGCATGCAGTCCTTCGTGCTTTTGACACTTGTGTTCTTAATGTTTCAGTTGTGGAGAGGGTCGACTCTTGTGCCTCCATGTACAGCCGGTCCATCCAGGGTCACCACGTCTGTCTGCTGGTCAAAACTGTGAGTGAACAATCTCAACTTCTGTGATTTTGAGATTTTTCAACAACCAATCCATTGTATTTCAACAAAAGCAGACGTTTGAGATTTTGAGCCTGATTTCTCTCTCCTCTCTCAGTCTGGTCAGACGGTGTCCATCGACGCTAAATGTGACGAGCCGACGCTGCTTGGGAATGTGCTGGATGAGATCAAGCAGACCTTCTCTCAGTGCTGATTGTGTCCCGACAGCCCCGGGGCGCCCCTGACCCCCCTCCACGCCGCCCTCGCTGAAACACCACATAACCATGTTAAGAAAACACTGCGTCTGGCACCTCCAGTATGGCCCTATTTATTAGTCCTCCGATTCGCAAGATTTCTATCCCCTGAACTTCCTCTTCACTTGATCCGGCTGCACTCTGAGCTCTGTCGTCACTCCCCGACACGCAATGTTGTTTTACAGACTCGCTGTGTACATGTACGCCGTCTTCTCCGCAAAGCCCTCTCACCTTCACTGCTGTTAATTTCAGTCTCCGACAGCCCCCCAACCCCCTTCCCCCCGTCACCCCCTTCTTCCAACCGACTCTGACTCTGTAATGCTCTCCTGTTTCTGGATCCCCCGCATCCTTGTTGGCAACTCGGTCTGTGACATTCATGTGATGTTAAACAACTGGACTTTTTTTTTTGTTGATGGTTGAATTGTGATTTTGTTTTCGAAGGTTTTTGTTTTTGTTGTCTTCTTTTTGTGTGTGTCTGAAACCTGTCTGCGCCTTTGTCTCGCCCCCTTCTTTCTTCCCACTAAACATCAGTGTAAACTCGTTCAGCTGTGTGTGTGTGTGTGTGTGCGTACTCTGCTTGGCTTTGTAGGCCTGGAAAAAACGTGTGACAGATTCTCTTAGACTGGTCCTAGCTGGAAAGAAATGGGGACTCTCTCCTGCTCCCAGTTAGCATCTGCAGTGCTATCGGGGCGGAGCTAAAACCCACAGCTACATACGCGGTACGGGATAAGAACTTCTGCCGGAGCCGTTGCCCCACCCGCCTTTTTGGCTCACAGCAGATCTGCTACTGTTGAGTTCGGTGATCTGCACAGTAGATCACCGGTTTTGCTCTGTGATTTAGCTGTGCAGCCCCCCCAGTATATCCACTCCATGATCAAGCAGCAGTTTGCCCCCCCCTCCCCATTACCCGCCACAGACCTCGTATCGTATCATTCCATTTAAAAAGAATTGAATAAAACTCCACGGTAGAATGTTAATGTGAGATTTCATCACAAGACGGTTGGCACCATTACAGGGCGCCTCTTTGACTCACCGTTGGGTTGTTTAATTGTATTGAAGATATATTACTGAAGCCGAAGGATCCGGTTATTTCTATGAAACTGCTGTGGTGCTGAGGGTCCTCATTTGTGTCACAGAATGGACAAGTAGGTGACACCATAGTCTTGCACGCAGAGAGCGGCCCGTGTTACATCGCTGTCGTGCCGCTCTGCTCTGGAAAAGTCGAATATGTCTGGCGACGGGAAGATGAAGTTACACAATCAACGTATTTCTTAAATATTTCAGTTTGCAGGTTGGGCTCGCTGTTGGCCGAGAGCATCACCTTGTCAGTGGTTTTTAGGCTCCCTTTCAATCAGTATTAGGCAACGTAGTGTCCAGTGTAAGGAAGCGTCCACGTTTTGTCTGTTTTCACGCGCAATCATGTGCGACATTTACGCCTGTGCCACTTTGAAGTTCGCATCGAAGTAGCAGCACCCGGGTTGGCCGACGCCCACCTGGCGTTCACCTGGATGAACCCCAACGCTTCTTTTCCCTTCAGAAACTGCCTTGCCACTCGTGTTGTACGTTGACTTGTTACAATGAACAACCGAAAGAAATGGCCTCTTGTTAAACTCAGAGGTACTTGAGTCTTTTAATTTGTGTTATTCATGTCGGAGGTCACCACCCGGTCCAGCACGACTTAACCTTGTAGTAGAAAGACAAAAACTGACTGTAGTGTCTCTGATCATATATACTGGCAAGGCCCTCTTCATATCTGTCTGCTATTGTAGATAACTCCTATGATAATGATGTCGGAGACCGGCGGATCAGGTCAGCTGCTCCACAAGATATTCTGTCCTGTAATAGTCTGACTACAGAGGTGATCAGCTGTATTAAAGGAATGTCAATGGTGAACGATTAGCTATCTATTCCCTGTCCTTGAAAATGACTGATAAAAAAAGAGAACCAACTGCCCTAATCATACATTGTCCTGATTCTGATCATTTTTCTTGTGCATAATTGATTAAAATGTGTATATTGCATGATTACGAATGTACACTTTTATTTACTTTTTTTCTTTCATTGACATGCTTACACAAAGAAAAACATTCCATTGTCCTTTTCTTCACTTTTTTCCTTTCTTTTTATGAGGATTACTTATCTATTTTTGGTTAGAAATTCCATTCAGACGATTAAAACAATTGATAACGTCGACGGTTTTAAATGATTAAACACAGAGGAAGGAAGGGGGCTAGTGATACTGAGGGAATGGGGCTCTGACTATTAAATGGAGTAGAACAGATCACCTAAAGCAGTGTACTGCGAGGCAACCTTTGCTGTCTTCATGATCTTCTTGATTGAGTTGTGAGTTATTTTATCCAGGTTTGGCTTGTGACATTGAAGTATACTCTCATATGACATTGGAAGGTCCTGTCTGTTTATGTCTCCATATCTCATCATGAAGCTGTACAATATAAAATGTTTTAAAGGGGACAACGTAAATTATCGACATTCCCTTTAAGGAAAGTCAACCCAAATTCGAAAATAAAGGCTGTAAAAAGCTGTTCTAGTCTCTCTTTTCAATTGTATTGTGTTATGGTGAATGAATAAACACCCAAATACGCACAATTTTGCAATTTTTAAATATATTTGGTGACCAGATGTGTAACCACATGAGTGAGGAGGAGGCGGCATAGTGTTTTCGTATACGTATTTTCACAGATTGTGTTTGCCATACAAAACACTTTAATATTTGATAGATTTGCAGCTAAACATCTCTTCCCAGAAAGCGTTGCATGACAGTAGAAGTAAATTGATCCCTCTACTGAGTTTACAGTGAAGAGCTGAGTTTCTTACTCCAGTTTACAAAACCACCGTTTTTGGTGTTATAGTTTGACTAGAATGTGTTTATTCGAACACAAACGTCGCCCTACCGACCCTCTTTAATGTGCGATAGAAAGACACCCGACGGGAAAGAAATGCTAGCTTTCGTTAGCCTCAATGTGAAGCTAACCGGGGTATGTTTCCGGGTTTCTCCTTCAACATAAAACCCCTTTTCAAAGCGTTAACTTAAAACGTCCAGCGAAATAACCTCAACAATATTTAGCTACACCCAACAACTGAAGACTGGGCGGTACACAGTAAAGTTGAAGCGCAAGCGATTTGCGTGTGTAAAGAAAACGTAAAGAAATAGCCGATCTAAGCGTTATTGTGAAAGCTGTGACCGGAAACGAAACGCACACCACTTCTGGCTTTCCAGCAGTGGGTTCAGACTGTTGTTAATAGCTGGGGCTACCCGGGATTGTTCACAACAACAGAGGAAGCAGCACCAGCTCTGACCAAATAAAGCCCCGTCGCGATTTTTTAGATCCTCTTTTGGAACCGCGCTAACGGAAACAAACGTAAACGCGTTCCTGCGCGAAGGGGCTTCGTTCTTCAAACTGCCGTTGCTCGCACGGAGCTAGCTTTTGTCCTCCTTCGCAGCCGCCCGTGGGTCGCCGATTACATTTAGACAAATCGCCGCGGAATATGGCTCAGCATGGACACCATGTAGCCAGTTCCCAAAAAGCACTGATGCTGGAGATGAAAAGTCTCCAAGACGAGCCGGTGGAGGGATTCAAAATAACTTTGGTGGACGAGTCGGACATGTACAACTGGGAAGTAGCGATATTCGGACCCCCCAATACGCACTACGAGGGGGGGTATTTTAAGGTGAGTAGCTAACGTTAGCTAGCGGTCGACCTATTGTTCTTCGAGCTGGTAGCTTTTAAGCCTAATATTTTAAATAAAAGACTCCCCCCTAAAGGACACTCCAACGGTCCACCAACAGCCTCCGAGGAGCCGACTTGGAGCCCGGCAGGTAGCCGCTAAACGCCGCAGCGGTTCCCCGTTTAACGGGCAACGGACGAAACGAGCGCCCCTTTGTTCAACTTTAACTCACGTTAAATCAACTCCACTCGCGTTTAGCTGCTGTCAGCGTGCAAAGACTGAAGCTTCCCTCCATGTGGGCCCTTTGTCCTTCTTTAAAATACGCAGATGCCCCTTTTTGATGGTGGCAGTCCGCACGTGAACACGTTTAACAGAGATACTTGTGTGTTGATTTAACACGAAAAGCTGTTTAACATCATCTCACTAGTTCAGTCTTTTCCTTTTGTGTTTCTCGTTCGAAGTCTTAACAGTCCTGGTTTGATGAGACTTTGTGTTTTTGTATATTCAAACTGATCTCAATCAATAGTGTGTGATTGCCTTGCTTTATTTTCTTTCTTTTTTTTTTAATGCAGACAGCCCCAATCTTAAGTTTTGTCTTGGTCTATTGGCCATTTTGATTTGTTTTCATGTGCACTTCCTCCCTCGGAAGGGGAAATGTTTTGGTTTCATTTATGTTTTCCTGTTTATGATCATGTTTGTGATCTTGACTGAAAGGTTTCGGCCCTTTCCAAAGCCTCCACTAACTTGTCTAACCACTGAATTGTCCTGGTGTTTAAAGGCACTTGATGCTGTGCATCATTTAATTTTTGTTGCCGTGGCCTTTTGACCTGTACACATTTATTTATTTTGGATTGTTTATGTCCAAATGTTTGGAGCCGCGGAACCTGATTTTACACTCCACATTAATCTCCTTAAAGTCACACACCTACAGTGTAAATATAGAACAGCATTGCATTTGTTTCCACAGCAGAGAACCTGTGTGTGTGTGTGTGATATTGCGACACGCTGAGCGGATCCTTGCTCGCCCAAGTCCTGTGCTGATGTCGCTGCTCGTCCTATTAAGCACTTTGATTTATTACTTTGCCCGGCAAAGCCAAATAAACCCCTATTACTGCTGCTTCAAATGTTCCCCAGACAGTCGTTTTTATTGGACTTCAAACAAAAAAACAATTATCTTTTATTAAGGTGCCATAATGCTCCTGTCGCTAAGAGGGAAAGGACAAGAATAATTTAGGTCAGCGTTGTTGAAAAAAACATAACGTACTTAAACTGTAAGTTACGTGGTTTCTGGCCAACGGCGTGTTGTTGTGGTCGGCCATCGGCCTTACGGCTAAACTGTATATAAAGATCAATATAGACGCACGCAAACATCGTAAATTGTCACTTCAGCTCGCCGGTGCTTCTGCTGTTCCGGTTCCAGAGAAGCCCGTTTGCTGTCCAACGGACCCATGTGGGTGCTGCATGCGGGATTCCTTTTGTCGGGCCAGGAATGCACCGCCTGGCTGTGACTCAGTGTTCTCTGCCGGAGTTTCCATCCAACCAGTTTGCTGTATTCAAAGTAAAACAAAAAAGACACGGGGAGGGGGGGGTGAATAAAAACCACCCTGTTGTGATCCGCGTGGGCCCAACAAAGGTGACGTGGCGCAGCCGTCTGGACAGGTAACGACGTCACCCGAAGCCGAGCCGAGCCAGGTTTTTATTTTACGCGTGGCGTCGCTCTTGGGAGAGACACGCACACCGCGGCAAACGCAAAACGGCCGCGGACGGCCAGAAATATCATTCAACCGGCCCACAAAGCTCAAGTAGACACGGGACCGTAGCATCGCAAAGTGACCATTGACCTTTCGGTCTCACCAGAGGCCCCCGACATTTATTCCCTGGATCTTGACAATTCCAAGATTACGGTCCTTTGCGTGTGTGTGTGTGTTTTTGCTTTGTCATGCGTATTCCCCCGCCGGGCTCGGCGTGTCTGATGATTGTTGGCAGAGCGCCATTCGGGGGCCACAGACGGCAGTGGTCCCGGGACGCGTATGAGGCGGATTAAGGGGGGGGGGGGTATTGCAGACGTAATCAAGTGTTTGGACCGTTGTCCTGTGTGACGGGAGGGTTCTGTCTTGTACAAAATGACACCCTCGCATCCTATTAATGTCTCCCCACGCCCACTTAACTGCCAGTTTTAGCACCTTCTGACACGTTCAGTTTTGTCTCCTACAGCTGCATGAAAGTAGCTTATGGCGACAAAATGCAAAACTTTCACTCTGACCGTTGTTCAGATGAACATGCCTTTACCTTCCGTGAAGCACAGAAGGTCTTTTGTCTTTTTTTAATGTTTACTCGATTCTCAGTAAACATCGAAATATTTTCGAATAAATATTACGCCCCATGCGGCAGAAGAACCTAAAAAGCCGCCGCGTGTCCTAAACGCGCTCGCGGCGACGCACGGTGTTCGGCTTCACTGCCCTGTAGGGGCCTCGGCTCGGTAAAATCAGACTGGGGGCGGGGGGGGGGCAGTGTTTGAAGGCCTGCTGTGTCGACACCTGGCAGCTTTAATAGTTATTTTAGTTGCACGTGGTCGTGACGCAGGTCGAAATGTACAGTGAAACGGAACAGCTTTGTCCCCCGAGGCGAGCGTCTCTTCCCGCTGAGCTCCTTCGCAGCGTGACGGCGAAGCCGAGGGGTGTCGCCCGTCCCCGTCGCTGGCTTTTCAAAGCGTCAGGCTGCTCGGCCCCCAGACGAGCAGCCTGACCCGGTGCCTTCCTTCCTGCTTCGCGCTACATGACGTGTACCAGCGGCGGAGGGGAGCCCCCCCCTGCGGAAGGCTTGGCCAGGCTGGTTGGAGTCATGTCCCCCCGCCCCCCCCTCCGGCTGTGTCGTCCAGAGACGAGAGCAGGCCGAGGGGGGGTGGAGGGGACTCAGAACCTGCTGGATCGAGAGCAGGCAGAGTCTTGCCTCGCAACGGTGCCTCCCTTTTGAAAGGGGAGCCTGCGGTGGCTCGAGGTGAGCGTGACATGAGCCCAGTAGACAGTTATTACCATGCGTCCCCCCCCCCCCTTCCTGTACAGGCCACCAGTGTGGTAGTATACTTCACAGACATGGCTGCAAACGCTCTCTGTGATCAGCCCAACAGTCCTTTCCCCTCCCACTCTCCCCGTAGCTCTTTTCCTGAGTTCGGTTAATGAGGCGGTGGGGAGGGGGGGGGGCGCTGCGTACAAAGGTGATCGTGCGTGGAATTTGCTCGACACAGGGACGTTCGTTTTCCCCTCGTCGTGCGCTTGGCCCGGGGGTACGAGGATCCGGTCTGCGGGGAAGGCGAGGAGGACAGAATGACTTGTTCCCTTCGGTGTCTTTGCGTTGACCTGGTTTACTTACTTCGCCTCGCCGACGTCTTCCACGTGGTGGGGGGGCGGCACGTTCCCCCGCCGCTCCCCATCTCGTCTTTCAAGCCCGCTTTTGCGCCCACAATTCCCGGAGCAGTTTATTTACTTTTGGACGGCGCGGGACATCGATCCGGTGTCCCGTGGTCTCTGTAACCAGCCTTTCACAAGTCCCCCCCCCCCCCCCCCCCACATCAAATGAACTGTTGCAGGGTTGCTCACCCTTTGACCACGAATGCTGTTCCTTCCGTGTGGCAAACCAACTACTTTATGACTCGCTGAAGTCGGCTGTGGCATTTTGCACGTTGCGATGGGCAGATATTGTTCTTCTGAGCGGCTGCATCTGAAGCAGAATGTCTTCGCCAGCATTGGAGGCGCAGTGAGCGAGGAAGGCGTGGGTGTCTTACAGTAAAGGCTCGCGTGTGGGTGTCCAACACGGCTGGGAATAGATATCTTCAATGCGTGACAACGGACACTTAAAAAAAAGAGGAGGAGGATCTCGGCCCTTGTCCTCTTCCTCCCTCCCTCCTCATGTTTCTGCACCGTCACACTCCTCCGCTCTCCCTCCTTCAGTCTAAGGTCAGGTGTCTCTTCTTGGGAGGGTAGGTCAACCGCTTCAGGCCTCGGCCGGTTACCGGGGTGACCTGTCTCCTCCTGGTCGTTGAACGCCACCGTACCGGTGGTTAAACCCTCTCTAATGAGCCCTGTGACACACTCATCGGGACACTTTCCCTGAAGTCTCGAGGGAAACGCACCACCTCTTTCTACGCTAAGCACTTGCCTTTGCCAATTTTGGTCTGATCGTATTATAAAGCCTTTCGTGGTGACTGTGCATTAGCTCGTGTTTGCGGAGTTGTGTTGCAAAGAATATGGTTTCAAAACCTCCTGGTGAGCTGCGTTGTGAAACCGTGCTCTTACCCTCTTAAAGGGATCCGTGCTTATCCTCAATGCATATTGCCAGCTTCCTGTTTGCGTCCAAACGAATGAAGCTATTTTAATGGTCTCAACACAGAATGCTACACATCTGCCTCCATTTTATATATTCATCTTTTATCCATAAGCATGCAAGTGAACTACCAGCATCTGTGGCTTTAAGCATCCGATGACACGTTGCTGAAGAGCCTTTTGTAAGCAGTTTTGTTTAGGAAATTTTTTATTTTTTTGAATTACAGTTCTTGTCCAACTGACTGTGGACAGATGTATAAAAAGATTATTATAAGATCAGACCTTGAGGCTGACTGTGGTTTCGGAGGACCGTCCACGCTCTCCCCCGGGCCCTCGTCTTCCTCCTCTTCCTCCCCCGGCTGCTATCCGTATCCGTTGCCAGCCTGTAATGTGCACGGTGTTGGCTTGAACCCTGCGCTCCGAAGGGTCGCCGGCTCTTCTGGCAGGGTCACTGAGACCTGGGGATTTAAAAAAATATATATATTTGTTTTTCTCTCAGGACGCTGTCAGTGTCTCCGCTCTGCTTTCAAATGGTGAGAGCAGGTTTATTGTGCAAGTACAGATCACTTAAGACTCCAAATGTTGCCGTATGGAAAGTATGGAAAGTCGGGACAGACTGACACCTGCCTTTTTAAAAAAATAAAAAAGACAACAGACCCTGAACCGCCCGCAGCTGTGGCGACAAAGTTCTGTGACCGTTGTTTTGAGTGTTTATCCGTCACTGCCGAGCTTAACGGCTGCATCGCATGCAATAAGGGATAAGAGCGCTATGTTAAGCACGTGTATTATAGAGCACAAGCCCTTTTATTTTGTGAAATCCCCCCCCGCTGACCCCCTGCCACACCACCGCCTCCCTCCGCCCATCCATCCGATGTGTTGAACAGAAGCTTTCGTGCAGTGAGTGACGTGCGTTGTGTAATCAGTATCTGTGTATCGGCCCCTCGCCGTGGCACGCCTTATGGAGCGGGAGGAGGGGTCCCCCCCCCCCTCCACCCATAGTAGCATTTATACAGTTTGAAGGGGGGGGGGGGGTATTCTAGTAACACGGGTGTGAGTAGTGGATTGTCTTGGGTTGCAGTGACAGCTGGAGAGGACAAACCCCCTCAATGTCTCTTTTATACAGGGCCTCCCTCCCTCAACCTCCCTCCCCTCACCCATCGGTGTGTCTCTTAGCTCCAAACACTCCCCCCTCCCCTCCCTCCCTGCATGCAATATTGCGTTACCCTGTCATTAGCTCGTCCGTACTCAGCCACCTCAGTAGCGTGCGCCGCGCCTGTACGGCTCCTATTTATAGGTTTGTCTTTCGCTCTCCGCTGACGCTGATCAGCACGATTGTGGAGATCTTGGTTCAGCAGCTGCTTGTTGACACCGGGTCTTTGTGAGAAAGGAGAAAAACGTTGGGAATTAAGCACACGTACTCCCCTGCAGCTGCCTGTGCGCCGTGTTTTTTTGTTGCACTGTACAGACTTGCATTCCTGATGCAAAATTCCCTCTGGGAGGCTGTGTCCACAAGCAGAGTAGTTCTTCAGCAGAAGTATGTGTGGATACAATACACACGCACACTGTGTGTTGTTCTTTTAAGAAAACTGCACCACCAGCCCCATAAAATGATCTGCTGCGGCTCACGTGTGTCTCAAGGAATCGCCATTTACCCCCCATCAGATGAGGTGGAAACGTTCTCCCAAACTGGAATAGTTTGGAGGGAAGTAGTCGTGACTTGTCAAATGGTTAGGAAACAATGTAGATGAACTCCCTGCCTCTCAGCGGCTAATGTCTGTGTGTGTGTGTGTGTGTGTGTGTGTGTGTGTGTGTGTGTGTCTCTCTCGCCCTCAGTCCAGGATCAAGTTCCCCGTCGACTACCCGTACTCTCCACCTGCTTTTCGTTTCCTCACCAAAATGTGGCACCCCAACATCTATGAGGTAATTGTGACCAGTATAACATACAGGAGCTCGTCGTAACTTTTATCAGGACAGGTGTGTGTGTGTGTGTGTGTGTGTGTGTGTGTGTGTGTGTGTGTGTGTGTGTGTGTGTGGTAAATGACTACATGTTTTTTAAAAGTAACTGTAGTCGTGTTCGATCCCAGTTCAGTCTTGAGATTTAGTAACTAAAGGTGTTTGCGTCCTCAGAACGGGGATGTGTGCATCTCCATCCTGCACCCACCAGTGGACGACCCCCAGAGCGGAGAGCTGCCTTCAGAGCGGTGGAACCCCACCCAGAACGTCAGGTACCCCACGCGATGCTCTCCGCTCTGTCCTAGTTTCTGAATCGGCGACACAGACTAAAGTATTTTCCGGTGCTTTTTGAACATGCATATTTTAATGATCTATCTAACACCCGCCCCGTTTTGTCAAATCATGTTTTTGTGCTTTTCTGCTACTGTGAAAGATTGGCACCACAATGTGTCGGAGGAGGTGTTGGTTGTGAGTGTTTGCAGGCCTCTTGTTTCCTGCTCGGCTCCTCGGCTCATAACTGGCCTCCTCCTTCTGCTGCCTCGCTGTTCAGCCCGTCAATACGGACCAAAGGCTCCCGCACGTGTTTGTGCAGCTTGTAGCCCGCTCAAACAAAATAACCGTCGAATGAGGTTTAATGAACGCCTCCTGGAGCTCAATGTGACAAGATCGGTCGGAGACCGATGAATCTCACCCCGACCCCCTTGTGTCCTTTCTCGCCTTCCGTCCCCTGTCTCATCTTACCCCCCTGTGTCCTCTTCCTCTATTGCTCCCCGGTATTTTAATCTCTCCCCACTCCCGCCGTCTCTCTTCCTCTCTCAGGACCATCCTGCTCAGCGTGATCTCTCTGCTCAACGAGCCCAACACCTTCTCCCCGGCGAACGTGGACGCCTCCGTCATGTACCGCAAGTGGAGGGACAGCAAGGGCAAGGACAGGGAATACATCGAGATCATCAGGTAGCGCCCGCGCAGCTCCCGCGTGCAACGCCACGTGGCGCACACGGTACTCATCCGTCTCCTCCTCCTGTCCCTCGCAGGAAGCAGGTGGTGGCCACCAAAGCCGACGCAGAGCGGGACGGCGTCAAGGTTCCCATCACGTTGGACGAGTACTGCGTCCGCACCCAAGTCCCGCCCACAGACGACGGCTCCAACCTCCTATACGATGACTACTACGACGAACTCGAGGACGACGAGGACGAGGACGACGAGGACAACGAGGACTGTTGCTACGACAACGACGACTCGGGCACTGAGGACTCCTGACCGTGCCTTCCCACGATGTCACCCCGTCCCTGACCAGCCCCCCCCCCCCCCGTCCCCCGTACACACACACACACACACGCACACACACTAGCGCACACACACACGCCACGCTCTTGTCATGGACTGAACTTTAATCCCCCCCCCCCCCCCCCACCTCCTTAACAATCATCCTCACTTATCTCAGCGCCCCCCCCACCCTTCTCCATCCCCATTCTGTGCAGTGAAAGAATGTGCACTAAAACCTGATGCATCAAAGAAAACAAAGCTACAGTTGTGTTTGTTTCTTACATGTTTCTTTTTTTTTTTTTATTAGTTGTTTGAGTAGAGGTTACGCACACAGACACACACAGCAACACACAGCAAACACATCAATAATAGTACTCTCTTATCTGCTTCGGTTTGTCTGCACTGATAACTGGTTTCACTTTTTTTTTTTTGTAACTCTCCGAGACCCGTTGCTCCCTTCCAGCTCAGAGTGAAACGAAGCCTGTCGGATGTCCTGGTGTCCCGTAGAACACGTGGCCGTGGTTTGGTGGCGCCTTTTCTCCACATGCGCGGCGCAGTGGAATGTAACGCCACGGGTCGGTGAGAGGACGATAGGCAGGGGGCGTCTGCAAAGGAAGCCAATTAAGCAAAAAATAAATAATGCACAATGTTGTTTTTTTTTTTCCTCAAAGCTGACTCACTTCTGTCTCTGAGCCACGTGTGGTGTGTGTGTGTGTGTGTGTGTCCTCCCATTTAGCGGGATGTTCGAGGCCCTGCCTGAGGGAGGGGGAGTGTGGGGGAGGGGGGGGTGTTTATGCTCACACCGTTTCAGGTGGGGATGCCGCGCAAACTCCGCCCTCCTGCTGGAAACAAACGTATTTATAGCACCACCTGTCAGATGTGTCCACGGTGTGCGTGAGAAAGGTGTAAAACAACAACAACAGCAGCGTAAGTGAAGACTGGAATGTGGATCCCACATGCGTCCTCTCACTGCCTCCGTCGTACGGGTGCTACCAGCGGCCTGGACGCGCCGTGGTCGAGCAGCGATGCAGCCAGTGCGTGAACCTACTCGATATGCAGTGAAGCTGAGCCTCTCAGCGCTCCGATCTGAGCGCCCGGCCCCAGTTTTACAACCCGCGTGGGCTTAGAACCCAGACTCAGTCGGAGTCCGGCGCCGGTGTGTTTGTCTCCGTCTCTCAGCGGTTTGCGGTTTGCTGTTTGCGTCCCCCCCACCCCCACCCCCCCCCCCCCCCTTTTTTTTTTTTTGAATTGCAGCCATCTTGACTCACCTGAATCTATGAACCCTGTTGCCTCTGATGAGATGGGGTTGCGGTTTGAGTGGTTCAGCGGGACGAGGGGCGGCCTGCTCGCTGACGCAGACCGGTTTTGTTTTTCAGTCCACGTGTTTTTTTGTTGATCCGTTATAACTGTTGAGGGTCGTGTCCAGAGATCTACAGCTGTTGCATTGCGAATGGGCTGAGGTTTTGTCCATTTTTTGGGGAGGCTGCTTTCGAGATTTTGATGTCCTCTGTGTAATTTCCCTTTTGTGGTGTGATGCAATGATTTCTATCTTTATATGTATTAAGTGCTATGAAATTTGATGATGATGATGATTGTTTAAAAAAACGCAGGATTTGTTCATGGAAGAGAAACTAAATGTACCAATTTATGAAACGCAAACGACATCAGCGCAGAAAAGTTAAGCAGAAACAAATTGACGCGGCGCATCACGCAGTAATTGACCATCAAATCAATGTAACCCCCCCCCCCCTCCCCCGAAACCATCCCGCTCCTTTTTGTTTTGAATTATTAGGGTGAATGGGATTTAATTTGTCAAACTGCTGTTCATTTTATCGTCTCTCCTCCCCACTTCTCTGAGCTGATCGGTGATTGATCACTGACGGGCAAAACCCAACAGTTGATTACAAAAACCTACAAGAACCTCAGGAAAAACAAAACATCTACCAACCAACAAACAAATCCTTTCCAACTGAGTGAACTTCACCCCGGGGAGTTTCACTTATTGGCTTCAATGGACTGTTTACAATCTACCTTAATATGCACATGTGGATATTTGACGATCATGACGATGTTAATTGTTTTGTTTTTTCTTGTTTGTATTTTTTCTTTTTTTCTTATGGTTTGTAAATCTATTTAAAATCTGAAATAAAGATCTTTATTAGATATAGACTGTTTTTTTGTAGTTTTTTTTTTAAATATATTAAATTAAATTAAGTTTATTTTTAGTTAAGGTCTCTGAACCTTTTCTGCTTTGTTTTATAGAAACTGAGAAGGCGTCGAGTGAAGGAAACTGGGGGGGACGAGCATCGACAGGTGAGACCTGCGTCCATTTCTTCACTTCTTTTTGTTGTACTGGGCCGAATGAGGAAAGTGCGTGATGAGACGTGCACGCAGCAGTCACCCGGCTGGGCTCAGAGGGTGGTGTTGACTTCAAAGGATTTCCTGATGCTTTCCTTTTTTGCATCCAATACAAGTGACGTTTCAGGGAGTTACTTTTCTAAACAGACATCCCCCCCGCCCCCCATCTTCTGTTCTCTAGAAAATGTAAAGACTTCCTGTACAGACCAGGTAAGACATTCCTGTGTGTTTGTCCATCGTGGCTTCTCTGGTGGATGTCGTTGCCGCTTTGCATGAAGTAAATGCCAATCATCCCCTTTGTGGTTATGATAAACATTTTATTTATGTTTGCAGTGCCACTAAGCATGTTGTTGAACGACGCGCGGAAGCTGCTGCCCTGTGATGCGTTACGTGCAACCCGAGACTGCACACGTCGGACCAGCAGTGAGGGCGCTGCGACGCGGACGAGTCACAACAATGGAGATAGGCCCGTCTCCCTGTGGCCTGATAGTCTATCAACATCATTTCATGTCACACTGACCTGTTTGTTAATATTGATGTGGCTCTACATGCATGACGGCTCCTGTAAGCAAACCCATTTCCCTTTTACTGGCCTCCATCCACAAACCCTGGAAGGGAGTAAATATGTGTTGGGGAACAACACTATAGATATATCAGCTACCTGAAACAGTAACTGTACTGTAACGTTTTTAATATTACGGTGGAAATTGACAGCCACTTTTCTACATTGAATGGCTATTTTCTCTTTTCATACCCAAACAATTTCAAACACCCTGACCCCTTAGAGCACAGCCCCCACTATAGCATGTAGTTGTTGCATACCACGTTTCTTATGCTTTTTAATAAATACAAATGTATTTCGCAGCAAGTCGCATATAAACTTAAAATCTGCTTCTGGTGTCCCACATATTCTCCTTTCTTGTATTTAGAGCGTTGTTGTTTTCCAGAAAGTAAGAAATGTTCCTGCTACGGTTTCTTTTCTTACACTTGCTTTTGGGAATGAATTCGATTTTTGCCAGAAAGCGATGAGGAGGAGCTCATGTTATCTGCTCGGTATTTATTTTGTGACGGCCTCTGGCCTGTAGAGGGCAGCAACAGCTTGCTTTTCTTTTTTACATTTTAGCTGTGAGGACGACCACGAGTGTGATCGATTTAAGAGACAAAATAGTCTCTCAGATGACCATAACTTTATAGTTTGTTTTTTTTCAAAAGCAGTCTAATAAAGTTTGTGTTTTGTTTTTTCGGCTCAAACTGTCATTCTTCCATCAATGACCCGAAGCCCTCGATGTGTCCCCGCCTTTGTTCTCCTGTAGAGGGCGCTGCCGTCCCCTACATTCGAGAGGAATACCAGCCATTTATTATGGATTCACTTACTCTTATCAAGGTTCCAAAGTATCCTCTTTTCCTTCCCACTTTTCTTATCACCCACTTCCAAAGACGCCATAACTCTCCTCAGTTCTACGGTTTGCTATTGCATTTTCTTCCAGGTGGAGTTGACCCACCGTTGGCTGTGATCTATGAAATGAAAATCCCCCCCCCATCGCTTGAAACTCCACTTTACCCGACGAATGCCTCTGCCGGCGTTTCAGGACCGTATGTGTTGGATCCTTTTGAGCTGCCGGGTCATCGCATCCGCCTCCCGTCACAGAGAGATTCCAGCTCCATGAGAATGCGTTCCCCGTGACGACGGGCCTGACCTTTTGCCCCGGCGTGTGTTCAATCCAAATGCCAGTTTCGGTGGACCAGAATGAGCCAGACGGCGAGATTATTCTGGCATTTGCAGAATTGCCCATCCACCACCCCCCCCCTCCCGTGGTGTCTATTCCCCCACACCGGAGCAAGCACAGCGCTGTGTTTAAACTGCGGGGTATGAAGCTGGAGCAGAGCCAGATGTTCCAGCCCCTGGCCCTCTCTCAGACGGGTGACCCCCTCCCCCCCCCGCTCCAGCTGGCAGCTTGGCTGCGGATCTCCAGGCTCGAGCCAGGGGGGGGGGGGTTCGTAGAACTCTGTGACCTGCAGAGGGCTGGACGTCCCGCGGAGGACAAGCAAACTGGGTGAACTGTAACAGACCGGGGTGAGAGGAGAGGAGGAGAACAGTTTGTGGTGGAGGACAGACAGAGAGGTGGAGGTGGGGGGGGGGTCCATGTGTCAGGATCTGAGATGTCTCCAAGGCAACAGAAGTTGTGCAAAAGCGGGTTGGCAGGGAGCAGAAAGATGTATGGCAACACTAAGGGAGAGAGGGGTAAAAATGGACTCTGTGACGCTTGGACCATGATGAGTGACCAGTGTGTTAAGGGTTAAGAGTCAATGCACACGCACACACACGCACGCACACACACTCTGGAGGATACCTGGAGGTGAACCAAAGCTCCTGCAGAGCTCAGTCTTGACAGCATTGTTTCTGCGTACCAGACACAGCTTGTACCTCCTCTTCTTCCAGGAAGCAAATAAGCATTGAAGTGTCCATATCTGCATGGTGATGATTCCACAACGGGCTAAATATTTCAGAATGGCATAAGTATATGTTCACTCCTTTAAATATACTTTAATGGCAATACTATTGTACTTCTGCGTAAAGGCAGGACCTGTACCAGCAGTAAAGTATTTTACTTTCATATTGCGCTCGTATCCAGCTTCATACGTGTATTTTGGGTTTCCTCTTGTTTGTATACTGGTATTGACCCTCGGTCTGAAACCTGAATTCAATGGAATCCCGTTGCTGGGCAACAGCTTGGGTCCAGGTTACTTCCTGTCAGCTGATGTCTTTGGATTGAATGTTTGTTTTTTTACTTTCACACTATAACGTTATTAAAATCTGCATAATCACAGAGAAGACACGACAAATCTTTTTACGTGAGTACTTTCTCCCACCTTCTGGTAGTTGGACCTTCACCCGTTTTTCCTCATGAGTTCAGCCGCTCCGAATCACTTGTTCACTTATGTTCTTTTCGAGGTTGTAATAGTCTCAAGAGTTCCTCACGTTTTCGGATCGACAGAGCTGTAGAGTCAGGCCCATTAGCGAGAGCAGAACAGACGCGTTAACCTTTTCCCGCGCTGCGCTGGTCTCAGACGCTGAAGATTCACAGGCGCTTGTATACTGATCTCATTATTCTGTAAAGGAAGTTGTTAAGAGGGTGAGCATGGAGTAACGTGGCATTACAATGTTCCTCAGCGGATATCGTTTCCATCTTAACAAACTTATTCCTCTCCATAAATGTTGAATAATCTTTGTTACTTAATATTCTCATGTAGTTTGTTGCAGACACAGCGACAATAAAAAAAAGAAGCTCTAATGCAAATCTTTAGTTTTTTACATCACTTTAGATGTTTCTTCAGAGTTTTAGTTAAATCTGTGGGAAATTCAGTCAGCCAGCTGACCCGGTCAGTTCTCCGTGAGTGTCTGGACAGCCGGAACTGCACAATTGCCCCTGATGGATTATTTATTTTTTGTACTCCCTGAAACCTTTTAAAACATGTTGTCCCTCGACTAATGCGGCAGGTCGAGTGTCTGCAGGTCGCTGAGTGAGCGCCGCCGGACGGCGGATGGGGGCCTCTGCAATCTATATGGTAAGTGGCTCTTTTAACAGGATGATTACATCAGACAATGAACTCTGGGACGAGTTCAGAAGGCGAGCTGTGTAATTATCCTCAGCCAGAGCTGGAACAGCCGACCAGGTTTTACGCGCCGTGCCATCCGCCGCAGGTTGAGCCTTCACCTCCGAGTTGACTTCCATGAAACATGTTTATCCTCCTCTCGATCTGGATTTCTGTGTGTGTATTTGCACAGGAGCGTGGGTATTTGCACGCTCCTTTTGTGCTGTTGTTTGAATGTCCTGACAGATGTTACACAAAAGTGATTCCTTACTGTTTGTGTGTCTGTGAGCAGGTTTCCGTACAGGCTGATGTCTGCGTGACGGAGTCGGACCGCGTCGTATCACTGTGCAACTCCACGTGCCGCGGTCACTTCAAAGGGAAAATATGAATGTTTAAGTTGCAAAGACACAAGTATACAAAGTACAAGTGTGCTGCTGCATCAAGTGTGATAAAGGAGAGGACACATGCAAAACTCATTTTTAATTTAGGCCAGAATGCTCTGCTGTGTTGGAAACTGATAATAGAACTGAATGTTTACAATTACTGGTATACTGCATTTGCATAGTTATTATAACCCAATACGACATTTGAATGTTCATCAACTTCAGCGTTAACTTTGGTTGTCAACTGGAAATGTTTGAGATTCCGTATTAATGCATTTCACTGGGTGCCGTGAAGTGTTAAGACGTGAATGATGAGTTCATTTCAAAGGCCTTGTAGTCCTTTTCGCATTGGGGTGAATTTGTGTGTGGAGGTTAAAATAAGATTGTTGAGTTGTTAGACATTCTTTACTGCCCCTCCTTGATGTTGTGGTCAGATGTGATTCAGTACAATGTGAGAGACATTATGTTTCGTTAGTTGTTGGTGTGCTGAGCTTCTCTGATATCAGATTCGTGACTAACTGGGCTCAAAGAAAGCCGAGCTGACGCCTCTTCTGGGGCTTTTCCCTGTTTAAATCAGCCGTTTGTCGCCGGATACCAGCTCTCACAGCTGAAAATGTGTACATTTCTAAATCCCTCTCTGTCCACTCGATGCAGCAGCGTTGTTGGTTGATCTCTGACTGAGCATCGTCTGTTCCACACTCTGGTCCACCGTTTCGTGGCACTTGACTCAAAACCACGCAATCCGGATAAGTAAAGCGCTTTTTCTGTCCTGCGGATCAATGAAGTCAGTGGGGGGCCCTTTTCTATCTGAGACTGACAAATTTGTTGCCATAGCAAAGTTTCCAAGGAGACAAACGAGCCCGTCGAAACCCAAAGACGGACAAGAAGAGACGTAGCTGTAAATTGGGATTAAACAACACGCTTCACTGTCTGCTCAGCTGTACTTTTTCCAGGTCAAATAGTCTCGTTTTATTCTCATATTCATGAGTAATGGTTTACTGACACACAAAAACCCTACTCTGTCATCTGTTCCCAGTTGAAATATTGATTTCAAAGTGTGTAATAAAGGCTGACCCGATAAGCTGCGAGCTGAGTAAAACCAATTAATTCAACTGCATCTCTGGGGAAAGATGAGCAAAGCAGCGTCTGGGTGCGGAGCAGTGACCCAGTGGCCGCGCGGGCATAAGGATTCCTCTGCTTCTGCTGATGTAACCAGTAACCAGTTGGTTGTACTGGTGAAAGAGGGGGACGCACACTGATCTTATTGGTCAGCCGCAGACCTGTGCCGCCTATAAAGCGCCCGACAGGCGCTCCGGAGCAGCCGAGACCGTCTGAGGGCGCACAGCAGCGCCGCGGAGCGCACAGGCTTCCCCGCGGAGAAAGACACCTGTTACTGACGGAGCAAGTGGACAAAGACGACCGCGTGTGTCTCGGTGAGTAAACCGTCTGTACGTTTGTGCAGACAGGCGCCGGGTTTTAGCACCAGTCTACAAGTAGACGCAAGATTTTGGAGGTTTTGATGAACGGACCGGTGCGCAATTGGAGGAAGACTTGTACCACCTGTGGAATTAAATGTCCCAACTTTTGTTGAGAACTCGTGCATGCAACGTAAAAAAGCGGGAATATAATGTGCTATTAAATCATTAATTTCAGCAGTGTTCATGTAATTCAATTATCTGTGGTATTGTTTTATTCTGGCCGTTTTTTCCTCAACCTCGCCTCATATTTCTTTAGCTAAACATGCAGAAAGCCCGAATTAAATGTGGATTTTCTTCTAACTGTAAATGCCCACAAAGGAGTAGCAAAAATGTACAATGTTATTACAATAGTGAACAAAGAACGTAACTTTAAATACATCTGTTGTCTTAAAATAATCTGCAAGAATAGTAGAATTCTGGTTATTAAGACTCGACATCCTTTCTTGTCGTGTAATAAGTCGAGTAAATTCAGTTCTTCAAACAAAACCTTTTGGAAGTTAAAGCAGTAACTCATAGATCCAAAAGTTGACCAGCAGCAATATCTCCTGATATAATCCGTTGCCATTTTAGTCTGCGTCATTAGAGCCAAAGGTGTTATTATTGTCCCTCCGCTCCCCGGGGAACCGTCCTCTGATCACTTACATCTCCCCACCTGTGTGCTGTTAATTCCAGACACCTGACTGCATCGGCTCCACACGCCCACACGTCCCACTGTCTGGTGGGACCATGTGGGTCCTGGATAAGATCCGCGGGACGGTGGAGACCGGCGTGCTGCGCCATGGGGACAACCGAGACAAGAAAGACGTCCCGTACAGCAACGTCCTCACCCCCGACAAGATCCCGGACTTTTTCATTCCCCCGAAGCTGGTCTGCGCCCCGCCGGAACCCGATGTCCCTAATCTCCCGCCCAAAGAGGGCCTGCAACCCTCCACTTCGGAGCTGACCGTCAACAGTGGGAAGAAGATCAGCAGCCCGAGAAGTCCACGCCTGGTGGCGAAGATCGCGGGAGACACCAAGAACCTGCTGAGAGCGGCGAACCGCCACATCATACAGATAGAGAGTGCGGATGATGTCGGAGACACCAACGCAGACCCCCAGTCGCAGACGGCAATGTCCCTGCCTTATGTGCCCAAGACTCAAACCCCTTACGGCTTTGCGACCTTGAAGGAAAGCCCACACACTCGCCGCAAGGAGTCCCTTTTCCACTGCGAGCTTAGCAGTCCCATCACCTCCCCCAAACACCCAGAGGAAGACCCACGGGCGAGGCGGCGAGGGGGGAAACCACCTGAACCCGGCGGACTGCAACACCTCGCACATGAATCCCTACCGGTACTTCAGCGGTGGGGAAAGCGACACGTGCTCCTCAGCCGAGTCCTCCCCCTTCAGCTCCCCCCTGCTCTCCCGCTCCGCCTCCCTGCTCAAGATCTTCACCCACGAGACGCAGGCCAAGGTCGTGAAGGCCAAGCGGTCGTTCGCCCGCCACAGCTCCCTCTCCACCGACGAGTGCAGCTCGGCCGAGCCCAGCCCCAACGTCCAGCGGCGGCTCAACGTGCCCTCCCTCCACGGCGCCGGGGGGTCGGACCAGGGGCTCCATCGGGAGCACACCATCAACCTGCACAAAGGCGGGTCGCTGAGGATCAGCGCCAACTACGACTCCGGCACCTCGCGCCTGCTCATCCGCGTCCTGGTGGCGGAGAGTCTTTACGACAAGCACTTTGACATCAAGAGCATCAACTGCTGCGTCTCCGTCTACCTGAACCCGGGCAAGCAGCAGAAGCAAAGGAGCAACATCATCAAGAACAGCCGCAAGCCGGTCTTCAACGAGGACTTCTTCTTTGACTCGATCGGTTCGGTCCAAGTGAAGAACCTGCTCGTGAAGTTCAAGGTGGTGAACAAAGGCACCAGCCTGAAGAGGGACAACCTCCTGGGAGAGCGGGAGGTGCCTCTTACGAAGCTGCTCTCGGGAGTTTGAAGCCACGGCACCTGGGGGGTGTCAAAGAAGGGTAAAAGAGACCACACTGATTGAAACTTAAATTAGAAGTTTTTGCTGGTTCCTTTTTTAAACTTATTTTTCTTTTAATTCAAATGAAAAAAAAGACGTTGACAGAGAAGGAAGAGGTGGTGGAAAAACATCCCCGAAAGGAAAGTGGAGGCTTTCTTCTGAGATCTGAAAAGACTGCATCAGAAAATAAAGCTCCTGATGTTCGCGGACGAATCATTTCTGGTGGCCCCAATTCTACGCCCCCAATAATGAATGCTCATTAAACCAAGCCGGCTGCGATGGCAACAGATTCGTTTGACACATGAAAGGGTTTCTTCTTCTGGACACATCTCCCGCGCCAACTTCCTCAGCCAGGTCTGGTTCAAAGGTTGCGCGACACCTGTTCACCAGTCGCCATCGCTCTCCCTGCCTGCGCGGTGTTTGTCACGTGTGCCGTGGTTTTCAATTATTGTAATGTGACACAAAATCCATCGCAGCGCAGGACGGGATTCTGCATTGTAGCTACACCGTGTGTTCAGCACAAAGATGCTTTTGTGAATCGAAGCTTTTGAAGTGCTGCTACATCCTGATGTGCAAATGACCCTTTGATCCCCGTTGCCATGGCCCACCTCCAACTGGGGAAGGCGAGGGACACACGGAGCAGCCACAATGGTCACATTTACATGCACATAGAAGATTGAATTGTAATGCAAAGCCCTATGATTGCCATAATCTGATGATGTCTGTCTAGCATCGTCAGACTGGTAGACGTTCATATTAACCGTAGATATATATATGTGCTGCAAAGTCTCTAATTGTGCCTGTAGTTGAGTAAAATGTAGCTTGACGGCGACAAGTGCCACGTGGAGTTTTCGAGTATGCGTTGTGTCGATCCCTGAGATCTAACCACTGCGTTGAGGGCATATCCTTTCCCATAAAACCACTTAGAATTTTGTCTGTCTGGTCACTTCGGACTGATCAAAGTTGGTCCGTCCAGCAGCAGAATAGGATCAAACGAACGACAATGTGCACAACGAGTATAAAATGAGAACTCACTCTCTCAATCATTGCTGCCCGGCGCTACAAAGACTCCACAGCGTATCGTCCAGGTAGATTTTCATTTCAACAATTGCCGTAACAATGTTTAAACCTGTTTCTACCTGTAAGTCGATTTATTTCAACTAAAGGTATAAGAGATTGCGTGGGTGCACATTGGTATCGTCTGCCCTGCTGTGAATGTCCAGGAACACGAGCGATCAGCTATCGGAGGGCCTGCGCAGTGCAACGCCTGTTTGGGCAATTTTCTTCAGGAAAGGTTTCTGGTGTGTGTGTGTGTGTGTGTGTGTGTGTGTGTGTGTGTGTGTGTGTGTGTGTGTGTGTGTGTGTGTGTGTGTGTGTGTGTGTGTGTGTGTGTGTGTGTGTGTGTGTGTGTGTGTGTGTGTGTGTGTGTGTGTGTGTGTGTGTGTGTGTGTGTGTGTGGCTTTAGTTAAGTTAGTACGTGAGGTGAGCAAAGTCCGTTTTGAATTAAGTTAACATTGACATTTGGTTTCAATTGTGACGCGAACAAATATTTGTTTGACCCATCCATGCAGACCCACCTCCCCCCTTTGTGTGCTTTGTTTGTCTCTACTGTGCCGTCACGTTTGAATGAGAACAGAAGTTGATTGCTGATGGAAACAGGTTAAAATATTACTACTGCACAAAAAAAAAAATGTTTTTAACACTCAATTATAGACAAAATAAACTGCAGTTTGTTCTTGAACTGCATTACACCCAATGCATATGTACACTTTTATTTCATATGTAATTGATTTCTGTTCGGTTGATGAAATCTCTTGAGTTTAATGAAGGACCCGCGTGGACGTTCCAGCTGCAGCCTGTCACACATGGCTCATCCAGTGTGGGCACCTTGATTAAATCTCCTGCAACCAGGCAACGAGCTCTCGCCACGTTCAAACCAGTCGGCGTTACCTCCGTGTTAGAAACAACCGGGACGAGTATTTTAGAAGTTTTTAATAAGTCAGAGCAGTCTCTCCAAAAGGATGATTTAAGAAGTAACTTTTTTTTCCGCTCTGTAATCAAATTAAAGATGTTCTTTATGTAAACAGAAGTTAACAATTGTTGATTTATGCAAAAAGGCTGCTGGCTTAGTCGCGGTATCGACAGTGGACAAATACAGTACTTGTGTGCATGTAGGTGTGTTAAATGTCTCCCATGAGAAGAACAGAACACCGCTGTCACATGTCAGATTACCAGTTGCATGGCACAAATACGTCACTGACATGCTCAGTTTCATGAAACCCTAAAGCCTTACTGTATGTGTGCGTGCGTGCGTCATACTCAACATGACATTTTGTCCAAAGTAAATCATTTTCTATGTAACATGTAGTATTTTGTAAAATGCATTCGAATGGTTTGAAAGATGTTGAATTTGTACTGTACATAACTACATTTTATGTACTAGTTTCTACGATTGTTCACAAAAGGCCAATTATGCACCAACGAGTGACGCTGAGAGGCACTTCAATTACGTCCGTTTACATCTACAATGAAGCCCTGAGGGTGAAAGGAAATAAGGAAAACCATATTACACTGTATGTTTGGACAGCTTTCAGCTCTGTCCTCCTTCGGCCGAGTAGAGAAGAAGACAGACATCACAGTGATGCAAATTACTGAGGCGTCATGGAGCCTAGAGCTTCAATTTAATTTGGATTACTCTCACCCGCCATTCGTAGCTCACTTGTAGCACAGTTGTTGATATACTCTCTCTATATGATATACAGCCCCACTGGGTGGCTTTGTTATGGTGTGAGGGTCCGTGATCTGTGTGTAAACCCCCGTTGCAAACATACAGTGCCTGCTTGTAGGTTTATTGCATTTTCTACTTAGACTTCCAGAATGGGGTTCAGTCCTGTTGTTACCAAACTCTAGTCTTCTTCTAGCATGATTATCATACTTCAGTAGCGTCAGTAATGGATTTCAGTGGATTCATATCGTGCAGTGGCGGGTCACCTTGTGCTTTGGTTTGGTGCTGACACAAATGTATACAATGATGTAATATGGGTGATGTGTTCTGCACAGTGTCCACATTTTTTTTCATAACTAATTGTTTTGACTGTTTAATCATGTGGCTGATCATTTAACATAATGGACACACAGATAGACATTAAAAGAATACAATGTTGTCCGCCCATGCCTTATCGAAGATTCGCATTCTGCAGATGGTGAAAAGTTGGACATGTCTGAATAGAAAAACCTTATCAGTTAACATATGGATTCTTTGATCTTTGAGCTTGGACTCCAGAAACCTAAAATCAAACATTCTTTATATTTTACAGCATGTAGCAGCAAACATCTGAATTGCCAGGTATGTTTTCACTTACAAGGATTTCGTCTTGGTGAGAGGTCAAAGGTCCTCAGTGTGTAGCCGAGGCCGACAGGAATTTGGGTGTTGTTTTCTCAGAATAGTTCAAATGTATTCTTATAACCGTGAGCTGCAGGCTGAATTAGACCTGTTGGCTCAGCAAAGAGATGCGGAACAGGCAGATCAGACCAGCCGGCTCACAGAGAAGTTAAGAAATGATAAAACTACCAGCACCTCTAAAGCAGAATATTTAACATGTTGTATTACTTTTGATGAATTTGTACACTAGCTAAAATGTATCAATGCCAATGTCTGGTTTTATTGGGGGTTATGTTTTGTTAGTAGTAGAAACCGGCAGCATATTGACAAGCCATTCTTTTAAATGTCTTTTTCAAATGGCCTTAGACGAGTGGACCTTTTGACCCGTTGATAGAAAAAAATAAAAAGGCCTCTAAGGACTATGAATACCAAATGTTACAGCATTTAACACTAGTCAAGATCTGGACCAAAGTTTTGAGCCAGCACACAAATGATCACCATCCCTAGAGGCACTGTGGCAGTGGAGGTCAAACAAAGTTGGTCGTTTTAAATGATTATCTTTTATTTGATTTTAGTATCAGTTTATGTGAGAGACTGAGAGTCTTCAGTTGGATCTTGTATTTGTCCCATTTAATTCCTAAAGCTTTTAAAACATATATACATACTGTGTGTATATATATAAAACTGAAAAGTGCCCGTCCATTACTTGACTCTGAAATGTTTAGTTTTTCTCCAGAATTACATAAATAATGGATGTTGTTTTCCAGTTGCTTTACAGCTCTTGATGTGTGTCTGAACTGTGCAGGTAGATACTTTTTTTTACTGTGATGCTGCACGCACTGACACCTGTTCTATGGTTATTTACTGTACTGATGGATGTGAAATACTTTAAATAAAGGAATTGTTCCACAGCATCTCAGCTTGCGTTCTTTCTGATTTACATTTCATCCGTTTATATGATGCACGTGTTTCTAGATTTGGCAATGTTTTCTTTTACTATTTGAATCTCTCCTGAACAAAATCAATGGCACTGATTATTGCAAGATGTACATTAACCACACCCCAATTTGTGATTATTGTTGTATTAATTTAATGTTTCAGCCAAAATATGTAGTATTTGGGAAGTAAGTATGTTTGCTGCAACTTTATTTTGGGGTAGATAAAATAAAATAAAACTTACAGGTGTATCTTTTTCTTTACACAAACAAAACAAGAAAATACATTAAAAAAAACATTACATGCAGTAAAATTAGATTCGATAAAAGAAAATGCAAATTATTTTTTATTTCAATTATGAACTTTGATGTGATGGTACTTGTCACCTTAATCATCTTATTTATCTATAAGGTTAGGGGTATTCACATAGATACAGTATATCTATATATTGGCATCTAAGCTATCTATTTCCAGTACTTTGCTCTATGGTGTGAACTCCGTTTGGCAGGTTGGCTTTTCTAACTGAAGCAACTATACAGATATTTAATCAGCAACAATTAACAAAAGACAAAATTGAGATGAGGAATATGTCTCCTGAAGGCTCGCCACTGACTTTGAGTAAACGTTTTCCGTTGGGATCGAGTCAGCTCATCTCCGTCCTCTCTGTCTTTCTAACTACCCGAC